TTCCAGATCCCACAGGACCCCAGCCTTCTAGCCCCTCCCTTTCCCCAGGGCTGGTGCATGACCACAGATCCTGTCCTCTCTTCTGTACTTTGGTGGCAGTGTTAAGTCCTGGATTCAGTGTAACTAGGCAGCCACCCCCGTGTCCCCGTTAGCTGTGTGTCTGTAATCCAATCCCTCTGTGACGGTAGCCAGAGCTGTTAGGTCACATGAGGCCCCAGAAAGAGCTGGGAGCCACCAGGTTTAACACCCAGTATAATGAGATAATGTAAACTATCTCATTAATTTCATATCAGCTACATATGGAAATGATAGCACTTTGGCCACGCTGCTTTAATTAAAAAGCTTATTAATTTCTCCGAGCCCTTGCTGTTTAATACGGTTCTGAGAGCATTCAGTTACGCGGCGGCTGGCATTTGTGGCCCACAGCATGTGTACATCGGAGAGTACCCTGGGGCACTGGGACACGGGCACGGCTAAACACGGAAAAGGGGATACTGAGGCAGGAGGACCCCGGCCAGAAGATAGGGCCAGATGGGAAGGCAGCAGATGTGGATTTGACCCTCAGCTAGCCACATGGGATGGGTACACATGAGATTGGGGAAGTGGACACAAATGAGATTAGCCCCCCCCCTCCACATGCCCCCACAGCCTAATCCCCACTCTGTGAGGATGAAAGACAGATGGTGATAGAAGCTTTTCATCTTTTTTTTTTTTTTTTTTTTTAATGTGTGTGGGTGTTTTGCTGTGCGTGTATGTCTGTGTACCACGTGTGTGCCCGGTACCTGCTGAGGTCTGAGGAGGATGTTGCCTTCCCTGGAAGCGGAGTTACGGGTGGTTGTGAGCCACCATGTGGGTGCTGGGAACGGACCCTGGGTCCTCTGCAAGAGCAGCAAGTGCTCTTAACCGCTGAGCCAACTCTCAGCTCCTCGTTTCTGTTTCTTATTTGCATATATCGGGGCTGTGGGCTCTCTGCATACAGTCAGGATGCCATCTAGGGTAGATGAGGCCTTGGACTTCTGGAATGTGCCGAAGCCTGACCGCATGCAGAGATGCGTCCCTTCTGTGGTTACAGCTTTTGAGGACATTTCAAAATTTTAATTTTGTTCTTGTTCAAAGCAAGCTTTCACAGGCAGGAATCCTGACTGGTGAATTTTGTTTGTTTGTTGTTTTGTTTTTGTCATATTGACACAAACCTAGAGTCATCTGGCAGGAGGAGGGAACCTCAAATGTGAAAATGCCTCCTCCATCAGATTGGCCTATAGGCAATTTCTTTAGGACATTTTTTTATTAATAATTAATGTGAAATGGACCAGCCCACTGTGGGCAGTACCATGTCTGGGCAGGTAGACCTGGGTTGTATAAGAAGGCAAGCTAAGCAAGCCAGGAGGAGCGAGCCAGTAGGTCTCTGCTTCAGTTCCTGCCTCCAGGCTGCTGCCCTGAGTCCCTGCACTGGCTTTCTTCAGTGATGGACTGTAAGGTGTGAGATGAAATTGGGCTGCAGATAGCTCAGCGGGTAAGAGCACTGACTGCTCTTCCAGATGGACCCAGGTTCAATTCCCAGCGTCCACATGGCAGCTCACCACTATCCTGTTCCAGGGGATCCGACACCCTCACACAGACACACACGCCAATGTCAAAACACCAGTGTACATAAAATAAAAATAAATAAAAAATTAAAAAGATTAAATAGCCCCCTGCCAAGTTGCTTTGGTCATGGTGCTTTGTCACAGCAAAGACAGCAAGCTAACACACCCATGTTTTGTATGTACCAGTGGCTTCAACATACAATGACTTAGGAAATGGCTAATGCCAGGGCCTCGCAGAATTTTTGTTTTGTTTTTCGAGACAGAATTTCTCTGTTCATCCCTGTCTGTCTTGGAACTTGCTCCGTAGACCAGGCTGGCCTAGAACTCACAGAGATCCACCTGCCTCTGTCTCCCCTAACCCCGCGTGCCTGGGTTTAAAGGTGAGCACCACCACTGCTCGGGTGGGACCTGAAGAATTTTCACCTCTTCCATTGTCCTTGCCCAAGCCAACCCCCGGAATTCTCTCCCCAGTGTTTTGGTGGGACTTTGCTCTGGCTCCCCAGCCTCCAGCACTTCCTTCTCCCCAGTGTGCACTTGGCCTGAGCAAGCTTGAAGGCCACTTCTTCACCGTGGAACGGGGAGCAGAAAAACTTAATGCCAGTGTGGGCCTGTCATTTTCTGCTTCAAAAAACTGACAAAGCTTACAGGGAGTCGCTGCTGCGAACCACTCAGCTTTCATTTCACGGGTGAAAAAACCAGCACGAGCTCCGTGGCTCTCACAGGAGACTCCTCTCTCCACCCCTCCCTTCCACCCTTCCCCACGTGCTCCCTGCACGATTCCCCCCTTCCAGTTCCTTGCTTTCCGACACTCTGTAAAGCGAGAGTGGAGAGGGCTAGCTTTCGCTGTGCCATTCTGAGGAACCATGAGCAAATGCTGACAGCGTGCCTGCGAATATCCGTATTAAAAGCGCACACTTCCAGGCTGGGAGGCTTAGTGGGTGAAGTGCTAGCCAGGCCAGCCTGCACTCTGAGTGTGGGTCCCCAAAGCCAGGTATGAGCCAGGCATAGTAGTTCACATGCCTGCAATCCCAGCCTGACGTAGGAGGCAGAGACTTTTTGGAAGCTCAAGAGTTGGCTCACCCAAAGAAAGCAACCATGGCCAAGTCACCCTGCTTCAAACAACACAGGAGAAGACCAGCACCCAAGGTTGTTACTGACCCCCTGTCGTGAGACATTGTTCCCGGGAAGATGTGAACAACAAATACCGTCACCCCAGACAGGGAGCCGATGACAGGCCGAAAGTAAGGATGCTTTGGTCTTGGCAAACCGATGAGTTTTAGTGGGTTTACTTCCAAGAACAGAAATGACTCAAAGGGTGTGTTATAAAGCCCACCCCAGTGTGGGTGAGTTTGTAAGGCTGGCGCCACTGCGTACCCTGCGGGCAGCTGGGCAGGTTGGAGACTGTCTCTTGCATGCAGTTTAGGTGCACTGAGCCCATCCAGGTACCTTCGCTGATCCCTGCTTCTTCCTGGTGGTTTGGCGGGCCTGAGCCTCTCCTAGTAAGCTTAGGCTGTCTGGTTATATATGCTTGGGGAGAAAGGGGCCTCGAGTTCCTGGTCAGTTTCAGGGACTTCCTGAAACCTTTGGGTTGCTTACTTCCTTAAGGAGCTTCCTTGTAGGATGGAATGTTACTGTCTCTCTGTCTCTCTCTCACTCCCTTTCCTCATCTCTCCCCCTCTCTCCCTCTCTACCAATCCCCAGAAACAGATGTAGAAATGACACAGATGATGGAACAAGCAGCACCCCATGCATGCCCCGATGCACAAGGATGAATTGAAAGCCCTAGATTATGCTTGTCAGGGAAACAGAAGGCTTAGGCCAAAACTGAAATAAAGAAAATCCTTGGCCTTGAGCAACAGCATTTAAATGCCACAGGGAAGATTAGTCAACTGAAATCTGCCCAAACTGAAGCAGGGAAGAAAAGAAGCCTGAAAATGAGCCAAGGGCAGTGGTTTGGGAGTCACCAGACCAAGCCAGCCAAAGCAGAGTCAGAACTGCAGAACATGCCTCACAAAGACGTTAAGTTCAACGAGAATCAAGACGCCCCAAATAGAACACTCACACAGACACACACACTGATTAAATCACAGAGAAAAAACAAGCCTCTCCCAGTAGAAAGGAAAGTGTGCATTCTCCGTGGTAGCCACCATCACAGGGCAGGTGACAGGCACAAACAAGGGCTGAGCCTGGATGCTGAGGATGGTGAGCGTCCACTGCATACGAGATACCGAACCTGTGTGCTGATTATGGCCATGCCACTGCCACACAGGATGGTGGGCTTGTCAAAGGGCTGATGACCAAGGCCCAGTTGGAACCCTTCCCTACTGAGAGCTAGACAAATCACTAGGAAGCCACCCACTGGGCACGGCTAAACTCCAGGAGGGTGTCCCGGAATGTCCTCACATACAGGACAGCAAGACGCCAACAGAAGCCGGAACCCCGTCATCCCTTGGTGTGCCTCTTGCTCCCTCTAGTGGCAGACTTCAGCATTGTGCTTGCAAGGAAAGGACAAACCTTGAGGGTCCCATCTCCGGGATAACAAAGCAGAGCCGGAAGGGTGCCCAGGAGCTGAGGGGCAGACACGGAGAACTGAGAGTCGGCAGAGGAGGTTTCTACAGGCCAGGAGCAAGGCTGTGAACCCTGGGGAAAGATGACTGTAAACTCCCAATCTAGAACCGTATCCAAGGAAATGATAGCTGCAGAAGCAATTCAACGGGATGTCTGACAGAAGAGGCTCAGCTCACAGAGCAGTCAGAGTGGACTGTAGACTTAAATGTAAAATGAAACCAGGAGCCTTTTAGGAAAAAAAAATGAGGGAAAATCTTCAGGATCTAGGACTGGAGAAGAATTCTCACACTGAGCATCAAAAGCAGGGTCAGGACGTTGGAGAGAGGGCATTGGTTCTGCAGCAAACTCCCCTTAAGCAAGGGACTTGAGCATTTGCAGAATGGGGGTTACTCCACTATCCTGGCGGTGCTAGAATCAAGCTCCTACAGACATCAGTGGGCAGCCCTGTACCCCACAGAAAAGTTTCCCTGTGGACCAAACAGCAGGAACTTGAATGCTCATGGCATTCTTCCAGGTAGCCAACCTCTGAAACCGTCCAGTGCAGGTGGCTAGAGTGGTAACTTCACAGATGGACCACTCTGAGCTCAGCCTGTCCACCAGCGTTGGCAGGCAGCCTACTACAAGGGGACGTGGCGCCTCGGTAGCTGGCAAATGCCCTATTCCCAAGGGCGCCTTCACATAATTGAATCCAAGCAGTGAGATTCCAGCACATGCCTTTCACATGCACTTCAGCTGTACTGCGTATGACCTATCATGAGACTAGAACTATGAACACAGATGTTCAAGCAACGAGAGGCGGGGCAGAGCACAAGGAGCCCCTCTCAAAGCAAGACATAGAAACAGACGTGGTAATAAGGAATGAAGACGGTTTAATGAGGCGGGGTGGGAGGGGCCGGGCAGTCCAGAAGCCAGGTCTAAACTGACAAAAAGGCTCTGTGTAATGCTTTGAGAATGGCCCCCAGCCCCGGAAACTCACGTCTGAATACTTGGTCCCAGCGGTAGAAATGTTTGCTAAGCATTAAGTGTGGCCTTGCTGCTGTCACTAGGTACAGGCGTTGAGCTTTCAAAAGGTTTGTCATCCCCTGTGACTCTGCCTCCCGCTGGCAGACGGAGAGGTGAGCACTGAGCTGCTACTCCAGCCTCCTGTTGCCATGCCTTCCTTCCACTAGGCTGGATCCTAAACCCCTGGAACTGTAAGCCCAACTAATCTCTTTCCTTTATAAACTGCCCTAGTCAAAGTGTCTTATCAGTGAAAGGAAAGTAACTGAGACTCCGTGGCTGGAGAGCCTCACGGAAGTGCCGTAGCCACAACAGAACAAGCCGGGTGCTGCAGAGAAGACGTCCTGACACAACCTGGAATCATGACTGCTTAGATCTGACTGGTCTACCGGATTGCTAAAACACAGATCTCAAGCCAGGCGCAGTGGCACATGCTTGCAATCCCAGCGCTTAGGGAGGCAGAGGAAGGTGGGTCTCTATGAGTTCGAGGTCAGCCTGGTCTACAAAGTGAGTCTAGGACAAACAAGGCTACACAGAGAAACCCTGTCTCCAACCACCAAAAAGTTTTAAAAAGACACATCTCCTTAAAATATAGTTGGGAGTCCCAATAAAAATGGGACTCCACTCAGCCTGCTATGAAGTAATTCCTGCAACTTGAAGTGCTGGTATTTGGACTAGCCTAGCTATGTACTCCCCCTAGAGGCATTAATGACTCTACCACTGCTGGCCCCAAGGCCAGGAAAGCCAGAGGCAGAGGCAGGCAGGAGTCTGCCAGTCAGCTGCTACCTGGCTAGGACATGAAGGCCCAGGACCCTCCTCTATCCCACTCCACCCCACTGTGCCTCCACTGGCCATTCATTCACAGGTCAGGGGACCAAGGAACAAACTGGAAATGGATCCACAAGAGTTGTAATGTCACTGTAGGCTAGGAAACGGTCATGAATACCATATCCTTAGGAAGAAAAGTGGAGACGGGGACAGAGGTTGTTAGGGGCCCACTGGGTCCAGGAACACATGGCCCTCTCAAGGTTCCTTGCATTGAGCCACAGGCCATGATGGCCCAGAGCCCGCTGCTTGCAGACATAGGTTCTACCTGGCCCATAGTCAGCGCATCACCAAAGGGCTGAGTGAACATGCTGTCAGCAAAGCTGTATTCCTTGGCCCTCAGACTTGAATTTAAATAGTCACAAATTGTTTCTTTTTATCTCATTCAAACTATGTATCACTGTAAAATCTTTCTTAGGGAGCTGGAGAGATGGCTCAGAGGTTTAAGAGCACTGGCTGTTCCTCCAAAGGTCCTGAGTTCAATTCCCAGCAACCACATGGTGGCTCATAACCATCTCTGAGATCTGGTGTCCTCTTCTGGTACATAGACATACATGCAGGTAGAATGCTGTATAAGTCTTTTGAAAACATCTTTTTTAGGTCACAAGACCCAGCCCACAGCCCAGTTTGCTGATCCACCTCTCTGGAGACCAGATATCTCTATGTTCATGAAGCAGAACAAGTTTAGCTCCTATACAGGTGTGCCCTGCTCCGTGTACACCCCCTCTCCACCAACTCTGTGGGAAGAAACAAAGCAGTGAACACAGGTGAGGCAGCAAAGCCGCCGGGCACAAGGCTGTCTCCATTGTGTTACGTGTACACTAGAAGGCACTGGCGTGCCTGCCCACTGGAGGCAGAGAGTGACACCAGATGTCTTCCCCTGTCGCTCTCCATCTCCAGACAGGGTCTCTCACTGGGCCTGAAAGGTCTGCAGGCCCAGTGTTAGGGTTACAGGTGTGCTAGGCTATGTCCCGCCTTTGTTCTGTATGTACGGGTGGGTACCTGACGTCAGGCCTTCTGTTTTCACAGCAGCAGCTAACGCCCCAAGTATGTTCCCATGCCAGGACTGCAGCTGACCTGTGGCACGCTAACTACCAAGAGCCATGTCATCTGAGCAGCGCACGCACATCGACTGTCTAAGACCGCTGCTGACCGTTCCAGAGAGCTATGCAGAACTGTCTTTATTGATGCTTTGCTCAGGTGACCCCCTGCTGTGCTGCAGCGCGTGCACTTTACATCAGAGCAGCAGCCCCACACCGTCACCAGCCATTCCCTGTACAAGGCTGGCCTGGCCAAGTTGCTTCCCTGAAGGTACACAAAGCCCTCACATGCAGCTGCAAGAGTACAGAGCTACAGAGGCAGCACCAACCAACCCCGCCTCACAAGCAGCAGCTCCACGTAGCCATACAGGGCTCCGCCTGAGAGCCCACAGCGATGGCGGGGAGGCAGCCCTCCTATAGATTCTCACACACTGCACTGTGCCACGAGCGGATGTGCGTGGTGCCGCAGGTCAGTATATACTTCATTGTGAAGGCACTTACCCACGGCTGTTAACTAAGCTAACACCCTGTCCTCCCTGAAACCAGGAGGAGGCCCAGCTAACCAGATAGGAGCCTATGCCCAGTGACTAAGGTGGTGGTGGAGACCAGAGACTGTGCTGAGCTACTTGGGGACTGAGCTGCCATGACCTTCCTCCTTGTGGACAAACCGACAGGAGAAAGAAGAGAGTGCAGCCCGTGGGGCTTCAGGGATGAGAACTGCTGCCAAGTCCACTGTCAGCAACTAAGGGCTGACTGCTCTGGGCAAGCCTTTTTGCTCTGTTCTGGGGACCCTGGCAGGGGGCTCCTTTGTCGCTTCTTCTTCAGCTGCTGCTGCAGTCTCTCTTCCTTCTTCTTCAGGTAAGAGGTCATGTTGTCAAAGGTGGCCTTATAAAGGCCACGGAAGCCATCATCTGAGCCAACAGAGCCTATGACAAGAACAAACCAGGTGAAGTGACTTGGGACATGGCCCAGTGGCCAATACTCACTGACACCGCAAAGACCCTGAGGAGCCTCACCACCTGGGATCCACAGAGGCTGGACCTGGGGACTTGTTCCAATAGAATTGGCGAAGGAAGGTTGGTAGATGTGGGAAGTAGGGACAAGGGCTTGGCGATCTCTTGCCTGCACCTTCCTGGTCATTCACTGATAAATATGGCTACAGGTCCTGAGCTGGGGGTAGCACAGAAGTGAGGCCTGGATCCTCTAGCCATCTACTGAGCAGGGATGGATCCTGCCCAAGGGTCCTGAGAACAGCCAGTGTCAGTCAATAGTAATGGATGGTGGGCGGCCTACAGAGCCCACAGCAACTACAGAAACCCAGGCGCAGAGCAAGCCGTCAGCAGGTGTGTCCCTGAGTGGTGAGAGCACGTCACACTGCGGCAGACTGCAGTAGACTTCCTTAAGTGCTGAGGTAAGGTGCTACAGGCACAGCCCCTCAGCCAGTCTCACCCCGGTGAGGCACACCTCCACTCTGCATGCCAGAGTGCCCCTATGTCACCCCAGCCTGCAGGGTGGTGTGATTCCCTGCCCTCCAGCAGCCAAGGGCACTGCTCAGGATGCACAGGCTAGCATGCTTCTCCTCCCGGCTCTGGCCACACATGCCCCATCTGTGTGTGGAGTGTGTTAGAAGTGAAGCCAGGCTTTGCCCTGAGCCTGCACCAGGTAACCCTCAACAGAACCAGACAAAGCAAGCATGCATGAGGACATACAGTGGGAGCCAGGGAGCCTCACTCCACATGGTAAGAGAGATCAAAAGGCTGTCAGGAGATCCAAGGGCGACTGGCCACAGGTCCATGACTGCTAATGCACACTCAGACCGGGCCAGAGGACACAAACCATCAGCCACTTTGTCCTGCCTACTTTTATTCCAACTCAACACAGGCTAGTCATTCAGAAAGAGAGGGGCCTCAAACTGAGGAAAACTCCCCCACTAAGAGTACACTGTGGCAAGTGAGCCTGCAGGGGCATTTAGATCACAGCTGGGGCAAGCAGCCCTGAAAGAAAGTTTAGGAACCCTAACTTCTAGGCCTTGGCTTTGCAAGATCTTTCCGGAGTAGTAATTGTTTCATAAAAGCCGGGCTCTGGGTGGTCCTGCCTGAACTACCATTCTCTGACCAGTAACTCCAACAGTGGACACCTGGAGCTACACCCCAGCCAGCAACTCAGCGCTGGCCTTCTGTGTCACTGCTCTGACCCACACCCTCAACTGCATCTCCCTCTACGTGCAGCAGCAGCACCCTCCTGCTATCCTGGCTACGTCTGCTCTGGCTGTGGAGCCTTTCACTTCCCGCTGGGTCTTATCCGAACCTCAGACCTAACAGAGCTCTCACCTTCCATCATGGCCCAGCTCTCCCGGAGATGGCTGCAGAGTCTCTGGGACACAGCATTTTCAGGAGCAGCCTGCAGATGACAAGCCAGGTGAGGACCAAAACCAGAAGCCAGACATAGCAGTCAGAGGCCTGACAGGGCTATCCTCAGGCACAGGCTCACTACCTCCAGGGCTAGTCATATAAAAGCCTTCAGCCCAATGAGCTGAGCCCAGGAAGCCGAAGCTGGCCAAGAGCTCCCGGGGCTGTCCCACCTCACCCGCAGCCTCATGGGATTGGGAGGGATGTCCTTGCACTGCCCCCTCCACGCCAGCAGTACTCAGCAAGGGCCCTGGCACAGGGCCTGCACACAGGAAAAGCACAGCCGCATCAGACCTAGCGCTGGCTTTAGCAGTATGGGATCAGACGGGAGTCGGGACCCACGGCTGATGGCAAATTAACCTCCTCACAGGAACCAGAACCCAAACCAGGACAGGGACAAGCCTAGCACTCAGGTCACCTCACTACAGGAGGCCTCCAGTCACAGCTGCCTCGGGGTACAGCCATAGGACCTAGACGTGATCAAGCTGAAGAGGTTCAAGCCTGTGAGAAAAATCACAGCTACCACCTGCCACACCCCCGCCAACAGCGTGCTCCAAACATGGAGGTGCTGCATGCTCTCACCTGCCACTGACCGTCCACGGGCCTCCAGAGCACCAGGGGAGCATCACGACAGTCCTGTAGAACCCACAGCCCCCGAGTCTCTTCAAACACAACATCCCACACTCGGTGAGGGAAAGTCAGCTGCTGTCTGAACTCTAGCTGCTGTCTGCTGGCATCGAGCTGGAAGACGAAGACCACAGGAACGCTTTCCAGGAGAGAGAGACTGGTCACCACTGCGACCGCATGCCCACAGCAGCAGGCCTACCCCTACCACCCTGAAGACCCTGAATCACCCAAACCCCAGGAGATGGCCCACACTTCCTGTCTTGAGTTCTGGTTCTTATAGCAAGTTTTAGTTCTTACAGCAAGAACTAACCAATGTAGGACAAAGAGTGAGATGGGCACCCCACCCAAGGGTGCAGACATTGTTTCTCAACCTGGGGGTGACAACCCTTTCACAGGGGCTGCCTAAGACCATCAGCAAGCCCAGATATTTACCATTCACAACAGCAAAATTACAGTTACAAAGTAGCACCAAAAACAATTTTGCAAGGGTCCCAGCCTTAGGAAGGTTGCAAACCACTGGTACAGACAGAAGGCCAGGTTCTTAGGATCTTCTCTCTCCTCTTCAAACCTAGATTCTCATTTCTAAGGAGAGCCACAAGCATCCCCACGCTATCACAGGCTAGTATGCAGAGCACCAGAGACCTGCCCTGGCACTGAGAAGGGGCAGCAGAAGGGCCCCCTCAATTATACCCTGCCTTTGGGGTGCCAACTCCCCAGCAGATTCCAGCAGAATCAGTTCTAAGCAGAACTGGCCAGTGGAATTCCTGTAACTAACTGTGCCATCATGCACGGTGGCTCCCAGAGATGCCACTGCTACCCTTTAAGCCAGTGGATATGAGCACCAACGTAGAAGGGGCAGATTAGAGGGCCCTGTCCCCTCCCTCAAGAGAATTTAATAGGATTAACGGCCATCCATGTCTTCATCACATACAGACACAGTGAAACCCATTGTCTTACCATTCACACAGAAGCACCACACAGCTCTCCTGTTCCCAGAATGCAATCCTGGATGCGGCCAACCCCTGCAAGAAAAAGCAGCTGCTTAACCAGGCTCTGCACCCAGGTCATCTACGCATCCTTCTCACCAGAACAGGTAAGGCCATAGGCACCATGGTTCCCTCATAAAGCCAAAGCAGGGCAAAGAGAGGACACATCAGTAGGAGGAGGGTGGCAGCCAATGCCTCTGTCTCACACATGACAGAAGCATGTGTGACCCTGTCTCCCTGCAGGCCTGTGACAGGCCTCCAAAGCAAGCGAATAGGTGGGAAAGCAGGGACATATGGGAAGAGAGGCTGTGATCAGAGACACAACTGTCCTATGGGCTTCCGCTTCCCAGGACAGGAGGCGATACACACAGAAGCTTTTAGAAGTCCCAAGTTCCATGAAGTGTGGAAAAAGCACCTGCTGCTCATTGGCTGGCCTGGCAGAAGGCAGGCACCATGCTACCCAACTTTAAGACATATAGCTGAGCCACCTGGGGCCATCCCTGATACCAGAGGAAGCATGGGACAGCAGGTACCAGGAGGTACTCCATGAGCACAGAGAATGTTGGGGTGTCACCAACATTGACAAACACAGGGGAGGCTGTCTGCCAACATCACTGTTTTTCATGGCTAAGTATGCCTGGAGGCCTTCCTGTAAGTCAGCTCCTGTGTACACACACAGTACAATGTGAATTGTCTCCTATCAGGTGATCAGGCATCTTCAGAACTGGAGATCCTGGGTCTCCCAAGCTGGAAGAAGTGAGACACACTGACAGCAAGGAAACACTTCTGACAGATGACTTCCCCATTAGAGCAACAGGAGGTACCTGGCAAGTACCCGGTACCCAAGATGAGCATGAAGCTACCTTGTGGCCTGGATGCTCTGCGGGCTCCTGTAGGCTGGCCAGGTCACAGCACTGCAGCTGGCGGCCACTTCTGTACTCCCAGAGTCTCAGGGTGCCATCCTGTGCACAGACAGAAGGGTTTGCATGTGGGCTCAAGAGGCCTGTCCCAGAAGCAAGAAAGGCTGGGGGAGGGGAAACGCGGGCCACTGCACAAGGCTGGGTGTGGACAGTCCCCTCTGACATCTAGGATCCCCTATGAAGAAAAATCCCTCTGTAAAGTACCTCAAGCTAACCTGTTGTACCACTGAGCACCTAGAAAGCCTCAGTGCGACAGGTGAATCAAGACCCCTCCCCCATCCATGGCACAACGGGTAAATGGACCAAAATGGCCAGACCCCCTGCCCCCACTAAGCAAAGTCCACTTACAGCGGCTGCCGTGCTGGAACCAGGCAGACAAACACACTACACACACAAACTACAAACACAGCCCTGAAGAAAGGGGCCACTCTTTAAGAGTCAGGAAGGTGCTCCCTCTCGTGGCCTCCCCTGACAGAGACCAGTGCACTTGGCACCCTAGCTGGGGACAAGAGGCTGGCTATTTTCTCCTGCTCTCTCTGAGACAGTAACCCAGTCGCGACCACCCAGCGAGCACAACGCTTACCCCAGAGGAGGAAAGCAGCAGCTCAGGATGACTGGGCATTGCAAAGATGCGGCTCACAAACCTGTGGAGCAAAGGAAAGTCATGCAGAACGTGGGAGGGGGCCGCTCAGCCTGCTCAGAAAGGGAGAACACTGCACACACACCCATACCAGCACTGAGAACACGGCTGGGCATTACATCTGGACCAAGGGTGCAGGGCCCAGTTCTGCTGTTGCACTGTAGGGCACGCAGCTCTGTGTGGAAGCACTGCCTCACTCTGTCCCACAAACCTGCCTCCATCAAGATGCCTACATGCAAGGTCAGTGAGTCTCAGCGGGCAGGGCACAGGGAAGAGGAAAGGCATACGACTGAACAGTCAGAGAAGACCTCATGGGGCCACTATGCAGCCAGTCCAGTACCAGGACCCCAAGGAACCCAATCAGACACTGGGTTATAGAAAACCAGGCCACAAAAACCCAGCCTAGCTCTGCAGCCTGTAACCCCACAGGCCAGCAGCAGCTACTTAGCCACCAGTAGGGTCCTGAGCAAGCTGGCTCCCCAGGAATCCCCACACCTACCCTGTAGTCCTATTTTATTTAAACTTTTTTTTTTTAAAACATGAGTGCTCTGTTTGCATGTACACCTGCAGGCCAGAGGACGGCACCAGATCTCATTCTAGATGGTTTGAGAGCCACCACATGGTTGCTGGGAATTGAACTCAGGACCTCTGAGCCATCTCTCCAGCAGGTATAGCAGGGTATCAGGAGGCACTTAGCATGGAGCCTGTACCAGTCTACCATCAGCCACCAGTGTCCCAGCCCACTCACATCCAAGTGACCCAGATCTCCCTGTCTGAGGAGGGACAGGGTTGCACTTACTCTGTGTGTCCAAGGCAGAAAGCCTCGATGCTGTGTGGAGCAGCAGCCCAGCTGACCCGGATCTTCTCGTCCCGGTCTGCAGTGAGCACGAACTGGTCATCAGGACTCACCGCCTACATCACCAGGGGTCAGTAGAAGGAGAGCCACTCACTGGGTGGTCTTGAAGGCACAATGAGAGTGCTTGGATTTTCTCCAGGCCACCCTGAAGGCCTGTTTCAGGGAGCTACAGTGCAGTGTGGAAGAGCAATGGGAACTGGCAGGGGACAGAGGAAGGGTCCCTAGCAGTGCCCAGTTCCCATTCCTCAGCTTAAATGCAGCCAGAGCCAAACTATACAGTAAGACCAACCAAAATGCCGCCCCAGCCATTCCTGCTGCACCCTTCCCATCCCCCACACTGTATGGCAGTGCCATGTAGTACACAGCCCTTGATTCCACCCCACTTCGGCCTGTACCAGTTCTACAGGCTGAGGTCAGGGCCATGGCTAAACCCTAGGAGGGGAAAAGAGGGAAGACCATTGGAAGACCATAGGAGCTCTGACCACACCTCCCTACACTGCCCGGACTGTGGTCCAGAAGTACCCAATGATCATCCACTTCACCTGTCAATGCCACTCGGAAGTCTCCTGCTCTGGAACCCCATGCTCCTCCCCTCTCTGTCCTGGCTGCCATGGACAGTGTTGTGTGTGGCCCCTACTTACCACATCTAGCAGCATGGAAAGGTGCCCAAGTTCCAGCCTGCCACACCCATCAGGCTCCAGCACAGAGAAGGAGTAGACATCTCCAGACTTGTCAGCCACCAAGACCCGATCCTCTGCGGCTGTGAAAGTCAGGGCAGTGCACCTCCGCACCACAGTCCTGCAGAACAGAGAGCTGAGCTGGTTAGTGTCCAAAGCCAGCACAGGGCCCCTCAGACCCTCAAGCCAGAAAGACGGTCAATTTAAAATGGCTAGGCTTCTATTACTTTGCCTTTACCTAGTGCAAAGGTGTACCCACACACCCTTTTACTGATCACTGACTCAAGCAGTCAGTGGGACTGTAAACAGGCCTTTTCTTCCTCGGCTTTGCTTGGATGTGGGCTGACCAGTGTTCTTGACCACATCTGAAAGGGGAGGCCAGGAGCGGATGCTCCACAGATCTAGTAGTAAATGCACAGTCAGGATATGAGGCTGTTGAAGGCTGGGAGCACCTACTCTACACGCGGTCATCGTCATTCACTGCAGAAAACAGAGCCCCACACACAAAGAGCTGAAACAAAGACAGTGCCTTCATCCTATTCTACTTTTAGACTTCACCCTCAAAAAGTGAAAGACACAGCTGGGCATGGTTGCACACATGTTTAATCCCAGCACTCCAGAGACAGAGGCAGGTGTATCTGAGTTTGAGCACAGCCAGGTCTCTACAAAGAAATCCTGTCTCAAAACTACAATATAGACCTGTCTCTTGAGCATTTGCTATGAAACATCTCCAGCTTTGCTGAGTGTTTAAAAAGCTCATAGTAAAATGCTGGGACACTGTTCCCTTCACCTGAACCGTCTGCTGCTCATCTGAAGGAGACAAGTATCAGCTATGCTACAAAGCATACGTGCTCTCTGGACCCCAGCCCCACAGTCTCCCCACTCAGCAGGACCACCTGGTTCTACCTACTTCCTGACCCCACCCGAACTTCTCTGTGACTCTGCTGCTAGGTTTGTGCCTAGAGACAGGAGGCCCATGGGTACTATCAGGCTGTCAGGGCCTTCACACCCAGAGCGGTGTAGGCCACAAGCAGTACAGAGCAAACGTGAGATAGCCCAAATCCCCAGTACAAAATTCAGGGACAGTGTTAAGGACTGCCTAAGTCTGTCTAATTCAACCCGTTCACAGCAGTCCTGATCCAGGTCCCACGGTAAGCTCCACCTGCAAGCTGATTCAGTGAAGTGGCACTGGTTATGGTTCACTCCTCTCCCATACCAGGGATGGCACCCAGACCCCTTTCCCTAGTAACCACATAGCCTAGGAGACGCCTCCGAGTGGGACACCTCTCTAACACTGCTCTGCAGTGCACGGACCCTCATCACAGAAGCCCCGCCTCCCTGCTTTCCTTGTTGCTTGAGTACAGGCAGTAGCCATTGCTGAGGAGTTAATGCTGGGGTAGAACAGGAACCACACTCACAGCCACAGGCTGGCCATATGCAGCCTGAAACAACCTGAAGCTTGAGGACAGTGTTCTTCCACAAGAGACAAAAAGAAAAGGGAGGGACTCGGCTGCACCGCCGCCCCCTCTACTCAGCAGGGCAGCTGCAAAGGGGCTGCTCCACAGAGTACAGTGGAGAACAAGAGAAAGACAATTAGGCTCTGGAGCCAATGAAGCAAAACAAATGGCCAGAGCCGCCTAGCAACCAAGGCTGTGCTAAAGGGTTCAGTGAGCAGCTGGGCCAAATCCAAGCACAAGCTCTGCACGGGGTCAGGACAAACCAACAACGGTGACACATGAGGACTCCAGGGTCCCATCTGCCCCAGAACTCGCATCCAGCATGCGTCTTCTCAAGCCACACCACTGCTACTCAGCCCCAGGCAAAAAATGTTCATATTTGGACACCACCAGCCTCTCAGACTGTGCCATAGATGCAACTTCAAGAAGGCGCCTGCTGTGGGTACAAGACTGTAATCAGGGCCCAAAGCAGATCACCAGAGAAGAAGTGCGCAGGGGAGGTTACTCCAGGAACTCAGGCAGTAGCCCCACTGAGGCCCGACCATGTCCCAGCAGATGTTGGGCACTTCCTTAATCTTGGGTTTATGGCCAAGAGCCCCACAGCACAGTGAGTACTCTCCCCTCTGGTGTGTTCTGGGGGAGGGGGAACAGGCTGGTCTCTGCCAAAGCATCTCACTGATGAGCCCTGAAGCTCCCATTCACACGGCACTGCCCTAAGCCAGCCTTTAGAGCCACACTGCTTACGTCCTGCCAGGCACCAAGGATCTCAAATGCCACAGCTGCCAAACTCACATCCCCAGCAGCCCAGTGCAGAGCCTCTTCCTGGAGAATACTTTCAGGAATGGTGCGACTTCACACACCATTTCACACACAAGATTCCTCAATCACAAACCCACCCACCGAAACTAACGGTTTCAGCTGTCCCTTTGTGCCTTCACGTTTACCTGGCAACCCCGGCCTAAGGCCCAAAAGGCAAATAAGGGCCTCCTAACTCACCTGACTGGTAGTTTCTGTGGCCCTACCACTCTGAACTAAATCTGAAAGATTCTTACTGTCACCTTAATTCTCCCACATTTAGATTGAAGGTAGACGCTGCGTGTGTGGCCCGCGCTTTCAATCCAGCACTGAATGAGGCTATTCTGGCCTACAGATCCAGGTCCAGGACGGCAAGGGCTACACAGAAAAATCTTGTCTCAAACAAAAAAGAAAGAAAAAAAAAAGAGAGAGAAAAAGAAAGGAAGGGAAGGAGGGAGGGAAAAGAAGGAAGAAAAGAAGGGAGGAAGTGGCTGAAGGTAGTGGCTGGGTAGCACCCAGGGCTCAGCCAGGGCTCCTAGAGCAGCCTGGGGTCCCCAGTGTTATGTGGTACACACGAACTCGAATACACACAGCTGCTGGAACCAGCTGCATGTCAGAGGTATAAAGGGTGGTGCTCCTCAAGGGGGCAGGTTCAGATCCCTAGATTTGTGCCCACAAAGTAAAATGACACCACCAGACTATACCCCTAACTCTAACTCCAGTGTAAACAGGACTGAGCAACCCCCACTCTCATGTGCCTCCTGCCATCTTGCTCAGACCACCTCCCCTACTCTCTACCCTTCCTTCCTCATTCCCATCCCACACAGTACCATCGGACTTCCCACCAGACAGGAAAAGTAAGGATTTTACTTTGCCCTACTGCACAAATCCAAAATCCCAAAGGAGTTGCTTCTCAATTTCGATTTTTCCAAGGAGCTCTTACCACTTAGTAAAAAGCTTTAAAGCCACTGGGTGGCAGCAGCAGCACATGCCAGTAGATCCCAGCACTCAGGAGGCAAACAAAGGCAGATCTCTGTGAGTTTAGGGCCAGCCTGGTCTACTGTAGGAGTTCCAGAACAGCCAGGGCTACACAGAGAAACTGTGCTCAAAAACAAACTGTTTGAAATTCCTCCTACTGATAAGAAACAAAAATACAGAAGGAAGTTTGAAAACGCCAGTTTGCAGTTTGCAGAAAGCTTACTGGCAGGGAGCCGTAAGAGTGAATGTGAGAGCTACCTTTCAAAGAAGATCAAGGGTTTGAGAATACCAAATGATGAGAAAACACATTTTCTTCTGCAAGAGCTGGAGAGATGGCTCAGCTGTTAAAGGGAACTTGCTGCTCTTGCAGAGGACCTGGGTTTCCCAACACCCATCTGGTAGCTCACAATCACATGTAACTCCAGGTCCAAGGGATCCATCCCCCTTTTGGCCTCTTCAGGCACCACGCACATACTCAGTACACACAGATAAGCAGGTGCACACACATACACATAAATAGTATTTTCTTTTTTGTTCAAGAAATGGTTTCCCTGTGTAGCCTTGGCTGTCTTGAACTTACTTTGTAGACCAGACTGGTCTCGAAATCACAGATGTCCACCTGCCTCTGCCTCCCCAGGTGCTGAGATTACAGTTGTGCGCCACCGTGCCTGGCTTAAAAATTCTTACACAGGGGTTGGAGATGATCTCCAACCCTTTACACATGCCAGTGAGGCACACAAGCCCTAAGAGACATGACACAGATACAGCGCCTTTGGGGGGTACTCTGGGACTACGGGTCTAAATAACAAGTACAGCTCCTCTGACCTGCAATTTATTCTGGTAACTTCCACCGCTCACAGATGCAAACACCACATTTGTTTGTCCACTGAGGTGCTTTCTGTAATGTAACAGAAATGTCCATCAACAGAGGGGCACCAGGAACACTACTGCGTGTCCACCCAGGGGGACTCTGCAGCCACCGCAGCCCCAGGAGGCTACCTCTCCATGCCCGCAGCCTGCACAACTGCCGCCTTCTGCGGCAGCTACATCTCATTCTCCCACACATCGTCATCCTGGAAGGCACCTGGGCCTCCTTCTCCAACCGCCTCGTTGTGCTGTTGGCCTGCTGCAGATGCCCTGCATCTAAAAAGGGAGGCCAGCCGGGTGAGGGGTTGCACTCCTGTAATCCCAACACTCAGGGAGGAACAGGCAGACCAATTTCTGTGAGTTTGAGGCCAGCCATGTCTACAAAATGAGTAAACGAGTCCAGGACAGCCAGGGACACACAAAGAAACCCTGTCTTGAAAAACCAAGATGATAATAGTCAGGAGACTGTCTATGCCCACAGCCAACTGCAGTCCACAGTTCAGAAGCATTACAAACACTTAAGCTTATGTTAGCCATATACTGGGTTTGAGGGTGCAGGCCAGCAGGGGAACAAGCTCTGAGCCCAATGGACTCTATCCACAACACCTATCAAGCAAATCGGAGATTATCCCACCCCATGCCAGGCTGATCAGGATGCTTATGCCCACATCTGCAGTCAGAGCAGATATAAAGACAAAAAGGGTCACCATCACACTCTCTTAACCTTAGGCAACACTCCTTGCCTTCACTTTGTCTGAACAGGATCTCTTGGTGTTTGCCTCTGTGTACACCAGGTTAGCTTGCCTACAACCTCCAGGGGCCCCTTTCTCTAGCCTCTACCTCCCTTCTTGCTGGAGGAGTGCTGTGGTTACAGATGCATGCCTCTAAATCCAGCCTTAAGTCGGTGCCAGGATAAAGTTGTTGCCAAGCCAGATGACCTGAGTTCCATTCCCAGGGCCCACATGGCAGAAGAAACATTCCAAGCGTATATATAGGTATACATATACGTGTAGGTGCGTATGCAAATGAACACAGACAGACAGCTATCAGCACACACAAATAAGTAAATTAAAAAAGAAAGCCAACTCCCTGCTGGTGAATCATCTCTGCCTGTAGGAGGCCTGAGGAGGGCTGGTGCACTGCGTGTTCTTTTGCTTGAGTTGCTCTGCTCTTGTTTCTAAACAGTGCACATCTATTATCATCCAAGATGCAAAACATACATAGTGCCCTCTAAACATAGCCAATGATGCAAGCCTCAGTTTTAAGCTGACTGGAAGAGAGCAGAATGGATGTTTTTGCTTTTGATGCCACCTAGAATCCATTTTTCCCCCACTCATCTCTTAGAAGACAGGATGAACTAAAAGTCTAGAGAGTTCAGCTGAAATTCCTGAATGTCAATAGCTCAAATGTTACCTGACTGCATGAAAGTGCAGTGTCCCCACAGGCTCATGTGCTTGAACACTTTATCCAGAAAAATGGTGTGGTTCTGAAGGCTACGGGACCTTTAAGAGATGCGGCCTAGCTGGCAGACATGAGGCCCTAGGGCAGACCTTGAGAGACACTGCCCAGCCCTGCTTTCTGAATCCTAACATAGCAGTCGGTGAGGGAACAGCACTGTAAGCTCTGCCAACCATGCCCTTCCTGTCCCAATCAACACATCCTGACAGTACCAGCACCACGCCTTTCCTGATCGTGTATCTCCTGAACAACCAGCCAGAAAAAGCCCTCCTTCAAATTGCTTCTGCTTTGAAACAGCAACAGAAAACTGATGGATAAAGCACAGTTCAATCAGCATTAGCAGGGAGAGAGGGCAAATGAGGCCCTGGCTGAGGCCACCCTATGTGCTGATGCCACAAACGAACCAGAGATTCAGGAGACACAGAGCATCTGTATTAGAAGGTTGTTGAAGCCAACAAAACTATAACCTGCCCAGCACCCATCTCCATTCACAGAGAAAAGGCAGCACCCTGGAAAATACAGATAGATTCACACAATCTCCTCCTCCTCACCATCATCACCAATATCTTCCTCCCCCACAACCATCTCTCTCCCTGCACCTTGTCTTCAGAAAAGGGTGTTTGAGAGGAGGAATAGTGATGCAGAGCACATATGGAACTCCTGAGAGAAAAGACCAGAACCCTGACCTGTACTCCTGCCCAGTTGCTGGTGTCACCCCACACTTAGACTGTCCTTTAACAGACACCTGTCCTACCTCAGATCACCTAGCTTCCAAATGTGCAACACCCACTTCCACTTACCCAAAGCCCTGACGCACTCTCAAGAGTATGAGCTAACAGTCCTACTCCTGTAGGGCATGAGGCTACAGCAACGAGGAAAGCAGGACAGCATCGTGGCAGGGTATCACTGAGTGCTGACACTGAAGCCAGCGGAGCCTCTGTGTAACCTGGCTCTGCCTTTCCAAGCTGAACAGCCTGAAACTGGCTACTTAGCCCCACATCCCACCAAAGTGCTTATTTCAACGGTTACTCTCACTACTGCTGACCACATGCAAGGACAAAGGGTGCACAGGACATCTTAATGACTCAATGTTAGCATTTCATACCTGACACTCAGACATTGCCATGGTTTTGTACGGAAAAGAATCAGACGCTTACTGTCATCCGTTAAAGCAAAATAGCTGCCAGATTTGGAGAAGGTGGACGCCAGAATCATGTCACTCCCCTTGTCGGTGGGCTGTCCGTCCTCCCTGAGAGAAGGGAAGAAAGAAACACAATTAGGCTTCACCTGAGTCACCACGCTTGTCCATTCTAATACAGGTAAGGTAGAAGATGCTTGGTTAAGCAGTTCATGTGGCCAGAGCCAACGAGAATGGGGACCTGAGGAAGTTCAGAGAACAGCTCTAATTTTCTAAATGTGAAACCTAACTCAACAGGCTGTCTCAGCAAACGTGCTAACATCCAGCATAGGCTGGAAGGACTCAGCGATCACATGGCCTCGCTTTCACAGACATGGACTAACCCAAGGCTCATGACTGTTATCAAGACCAAGAACATTAATAACAAACTGAGTCACAGCACTGAGCCAGCACACAAAACCACCACAGGCTGCTGCATACCTTTCGACTAGTTAACTTCAAATGCCCTCAGAGCATTTGAAATGGTCACTAGTACTTCGAGAAGCCAGCAATGCCAGCAACAGAAATAAGTACTAGAGAAACTAAAAGTACTTGGGCAGGTCCTAAGTATTCTTAATGACTAAATTTAAAGTTACTTCCGTGTTTCTTTCTGAAGTGGAACTTTAGCCCAGCCCCACAACTAGGTATCAGGAACTGGGACTTCATCGACTCAGCAAGTCCTGTCCTGCTCACCATCTCACCACGCAAACCACAGGTGGACACGTTTGCTTCCCCACATCTCACCCTTTATCTTGTGGCGTGGACTTCTTCTCTGCGGCACTGCAATCATACGTGAAGATGCAGCCATCATCACTAACAGGAAGAAACGGGGGAGCGATCATTAACAAACATACAGGACGATTTCCTTTCACTCTTGGAACAGAAACATTTCGCCGCCATTAAACTATGGGCCTTGTCCATGACACAGAAGAGCCAAGACCTGCCAGCTGTTTAACCTCCTGAGAGGGAACATCATGAACAGTCAGCATGGTTCTCTTCCAAATCATTTAGCGTGGCACAGTGGTGCAAGCCTGGGATCAACGTACTCATCTTCCTGGCCCCAAACTGTTGATTATGTTCTGATATCGTTTTTTTGTGGTGGTGGTGATGGGGGTTTCTGTGTGTAGCCCTGGCTGTCCTGGAACTCACGGAGATCCACCTCCTTCTGCTTCCTAAATGCTAGGAAGAAAGGTGTGCGCCGCCACCACCAGGCTCTGATATTTTTTCCAGCTAGGCTTTGGTCCCAATTTTAAAACAGCTGAGTTTGCTCTTGTGCATTTCAGAGACAAGACTCACCTGCTGGGGAAAGAGCACTATGAGCCTCAGGCACTTACTCATATAGGAATCACCTACCTTGCCTAGTAGAAGCTAAGCTCCCCTCTGTTGCTCTGACCCTGTGCCCTGTGACATTAAGTCATCTTGTACCACGGACAACCTATAAGGTGGCTGCACCAAAGCCTTCTCCAATTAAACGCTGAACTGCAGAAAGAAAAGTCATTCTCGAAGTATGAAACTTTGCTGGCCACTAGCCTCCCACCAAAGACCAAAACTAAATGGGAAAGGAAAAAACAAGCCAAAACGGACTGCCACTGATTCTCTAGGTGCCTGGGGATCAATTACTTGCTCAACATTCACTGATTTAAGAATCCTTTGACCGAGCACTACGGACACATAAAGATAAAAATCACAAAGCAAAACCAGTAGTGTGTAGGGCTTCTAGGGAGATGTCCATTTTCAGGTTTTGGGAGGTGTCGGGGTTAAGAACCTAGAAGTCCTGTAAAGCAACTACAGCCGGGATGCTGGACGCAGACCAGCTTGGGGGGGAGGGCGGGGGGGGAGAGAAGGGAAGCACGTTCTGTTCTCAGGGAGAGCCGGGAGAGTTCCCTAAAACGTGACTCTCATCAGAGGTTTCAAGCAGGTTCGAACGCCAGGACCCGAAGCCCGGAACGCGACACCCGCGTGACCCGGCCCTCTCGACCCCACGCAGAGTCCGGAAGCGCCCTGGACCCGCCGTGCAAGTCGTGGGGCGCTGGGTCGGGGTGAAGGGGGTTGAGGATAAGGACTCCAAGAGGACATGGGACAGCGGCGGTCCGGCTCCGCCCCCCGCGACCCGAGCCTCTTACCTGCTCGCAGTGGAGAGGGCCAAGAACCGGCTGCCGCCCCGCACCACCAGCGTCTGGCCGCACAGCGCCAACCCCGCGGAGCTCGCCATGGGCCCGCCCGCGGCCTCCGCACACGTGTGACGCACAGCGCCCTTCCTGCTGGCGCCGGCCAGTGACGTCACTCAGCGCCGCGCGAGCGGCGCGCCGGTCTGGAGCATGCGCACACGGAGTGGCCTCCTTTGACCTGAGGGCCTTGAGGGCCTTGAGGGCCTTGATGCTACGGGTTCCCCGCGTGCCTTTCGTGTTGACTGGCTTTTTGGCCGGTCAGGTTAGGTGGTGCCTTTTGGATAGAGCCTGGTCCTCAGGGGGTGTCGGTAAAAAGCTGCTGAACGGTGTCTGTACTGGATGGCCAGGCCCAGTATGTGGCGGGGTGTGTGTTCGGTCAAGGCAGAGGTCGCTGGAGATGTGATACTTACCCTCCTCATGTAGGACAAAGACGACGCCTTGGACCCCAGGTGTCAAACTGACGGTTTATCTATCCAAGTGTTTATCTAACGGTGTGCCTGCCCAGATCTCCAAAACACTCATTCTATCCATTCCAGTGACGCTCAAGGGTCAGAATGCCGTAGTCTCTTATAGCTGGGATGTGGACCTCCAAGTCAGCTTCGAAAAAGATGGAGCCGCCCCACCCACCCAACACACCCTAGAGAAGGTGTCAATCTGTGTTATTAGCAATCGGGCAGCTCTGACGCCAGCCCCAGGAATCTGGCGATAGCAGATTATGTCACCATCAGTGCAACGGTTGCAATCAGCAGATCTACCTCCTGCGCATGCGCTGAGTCGCCTTATAAAAGGATCCGTTTTAATTTCTCTCTACCCCCAAGAAGGGGCTTCTGCGTCCGCCTTAATGAACCTCTCAAATGAGGCCTACCTCGTGGTGTGGCTTCTTGGATTGCGTTGCTTAGCTCCATCGCCAAAATCCCAACAGGTGCTCTGCCTCAAACGCCCACTCACTGTGTGCAACTGCCGTTTTAAGCTGCAGTTTCCCTGAGTGAGTCCATCTTAGAAAGCTGCAGTTAGATTCATTTCTACGTTAAACTGCGACAGAATGACGTTATCTCACTTGTGGAAGGAAACACTCAGCATCTGTCTAACCCAGCCTGACTGACAAAAATCGACTAGTGCAAGCTGGGAAGTGGCGGCGCACGCCTTTAGTCCCAGCACTCGGGAGGCAGAGGCAGGCGGATCTCTGTGAGTTCGAGGCCAGCCTGGTCTACAGAGTAAGTTCCAGGACAACCAGGGCTACACAGGAAAACCCTGTTTCAAAAACCAAAACAAACAAGCAAAAAATAAATAATAAAACAATCTTTTCAAAAAATCTTTTGTGCAAATGAAATCACCACCTAGAAACTTAACTAAGTTAAATCATGGGTGAACCAAAAATCTTAGCAGAGAAGCCAGGTCTTGAGCTTTATCACACACAATACCAATGAGTAATGCAAGTCCTTTGCCACAGAGAGAAAGTAGTAACCTAATGCTAAGATACCACAGAACCTGCCTGCCATCAAGGCCCTCCCACGCCCCACTCTCACCCCCCCCCCCATGTGCAGTGCTGACATTGTGGAACAGCACAAACATCCATTTATAAACAGCTTACTCCCACTGGGAAGAGTTCTCAGTATGCATAGCCTTGACTGAGCCAGAGATCTGTCATCTTAGTTATCTCCTCTTTTCCAGACATTCCTTGGCTACTTTGAAGAGGGTTTTCTGTTTGTTTTTAAGTTTTATTTATATAATTAGTGTATGAGTGCTCTATCTGCATGTACACCTGCATGCCAGAAGAGAGCATCAGATCCCATTATAGATAGTTGTGAGTTGCAATGTGGTTGCTGGGAGTTGAACTCAGGACCTCTAGAATAGAGTAGACGGTGCTCTTAACCACTGAACCATCTCTCCAACCCTAACTTTTTAAAGTCTTTTTTAAAAAATGTATGTGCATTGGTGTTTGTGAGGGTGTTGGATGCCCTGGAACTGAAGTTACAGACAGTTGAGAACTGCCATTAGGCGCATAGGAATTGAACCCGGGTCCTCTGGAAGAACAGCCAGTGCTCTTTACCTCTGAGCCATCGCTCCAGCCCTTGTGGCTACTTTGAAGAAAGTGCTCTTTCAGAGATTTGCTCCCCTTACTTCCTTCCCTTAGGAAATCTGGAACTTCCTGTAAAACTACCCATTTTACCTTGGACCAGTTTGTGGTGCCTCAGTAAGCTTCCTGGAAGTCTGTTCAGTGTTAACTCCCCTAAAAGAAAAAAAAAAAAAAAGATGGGCTCTCATTTAAACATAGCTGAGAAGTCATTGGTAGCTGATGGCTACTGGGAGAGGGACAGTCAGCTTTATTTAAGTGTATGGCCCTTGAGAAGCCATATGATCCATGACGTAGTAGATGGTTCCATACCCACGCACACACTGGCAGTGCCAAGGGGACTCAGCGAGTTAAACACACACTTGGCAAGAAATAGTTGTGGTAAAAAGAGGAAAGGAACCGAGGGTGGACTTTATCAGAACAAATCAGATGCATCTATGAATCTGTCAATTAAAAAAATTAAGAATAAAAGAGCCAGGAAGAGTGGATCTCTGCGTTCAAGGCCAGCCTGGTCCTACAAGGTGAGGTCTAGGACAGCCAGGGCTATCTAAAACAAACAAACAAACAAACAAATAAATAAATAAATAAATAAATAAATAAATAAATAAAAGAGTTCAGAATGGTGGCACATGCCTTTGATTCAAGTACTTGGGAGGCAGAAGCAAACAGATCTCTCTTTGTCAGTTCAAGGCCAGCCTGGTCTGAAAGACCCCAGCCTCACCCTAAGTTAAACATAGCTAACGCCATTTTGTGAGACACCACTGTTTTGTAAAACTCTGAAGGCTAGATGAAAAACTAAAAAAATTACTAAGAAACCCCCAGCTGTGTCACCCACTTGGGATATCTGCGGTCAGGCTGCCCCAGTCGAACTAAAAACAGTTTGTGTTAATCACCCTCATGGATATCTGTGAGACTGTTCCAGTTAAGATAAGGGTCCTAAGAAAAACAACAGGTGGCGGGCCACATCAAGGAGTCATCATGACCATTTTGACCACCCAGTTCCTGGAATCTTGGTGTCTCTGCCAAACTTTGACGCAAACCGTGGTCTCATGTAAACGTACAAATCAGCCCCCTGTAACCACGCCTCTCGCTTCTGTACCAGCGCTTCTGCTCTAAAACCCTATAAAAACCCCAGCTTTCCACCCAGGGGGCGCAGCAGGTCCTCCGAATGACTCTGCTGCCCCGCGTACCCGTATATCAAAATAAAAGCCTCTTGCTGTTTACATCCGAATGGCCTCGTTGTTCCTTGGGAGGGGGTCTCTCAGACGAAAGATACCCAGCCGGGGATCTTTCAGGTCTACATATCCAATTCCTGGCCAGTCAGGAGTACACGGCAGTCTTCTGCTCTTCCAGAAAACCTGCAGCTCACAGCTTACAGCTTCCACTAACTCATCTCACAGGGCACCTGATACCCTCTTCTGGCCTCCATAAGCACTGAATTCACACTCACACATACGTAATTTAAAAATAAAAATAACATATTTTTTTTAAAAAAAGATCTAAACCAGCCATGCAGTGGTAGGACACACCTTTAATCCCAACATTCAGGAGGCAGAGGCAGGACATCTCTGAGTTCAAGGCCAGCCTGGTCCAGAGGACAGTCAGGGCCACACAGGAAAAACCCTGTCTCAGAAGAAACAACAACAAAAAACCAAAACAACACAACAAAAAAGCCTAAACCATAGCATTAAGTTTCCATGTCTCTGTGGCTCCTTCCCCGGATCCTGTTATGTACTGCTGTCAAATTATGAATCTCCCGAGCAAATGTTCCCCAGAAATAACCTCTCTGGCAGCGGGTTCAGTTTTAGAATTTAATTTATACTTTGCCTCTGCGTCTCCCTACCCCCCTTTCCTCCCACCAATCCTCTCCCCTCCTCCCTCTTTGCTAACTGTTTTCCCCCACTTTCCCATAATTAAATTGTCCAATTCCCTCAGGACCCTGCAGGGTTACTGATTAGCAAATAATTGAATGAATTAGACTGTTTGGAAGAAAATTAGCATGTTTACAGTGTGCAAAGAACCTTTTCTCTACTTATAATAGCTTCCCTTATCTCACAGTATTATCTCACATTATCCTTTAAAGGAATAGACAAAATATGTAAAATAATCTTAGCACAATATATGGGGTTTTGCTGAGGAGATCGTTTGAAATTGTATCTGATATCTGTTTCTGCTGTCTGCAGACGCAGTTTATGTTTTTTGTAAATTGCTCTTGCACCCAGCAGTTTTTCCGAATTCCCTAATGAATTCTCATCATGTTCCTCGCTAATGAATTCTCATGTTTCTCATGGCATTTGCTAGCAGACACTGCCAGTTATCCTGGCATGTGGTCGTCTGCCTCACAGAGGGAAAGGCCACTACAGGTTGCTTCTGGGTATTTGGAACAGCTGTGTGCCGCCTGGGTTTAGCCAGAATGCCCAGGCCGAGACACTAACCCACCAACAATGTGTTCTCCTCAGAAGCTCCTGCCACTGTTGGACAAGCCCATGGTGGTTTGTTACCCACGACTGTCTTTATGGTGCCACCTAACCTCCACCCCAAAGGAAATGGTAGCTTCCTGTTGTGCTGGATCTCTTCAGCACTTCCATCACGGCATGCTCTGTCTCCACTGAAATTCAGTCTCGAGGGTTAGAACACTGGTGCAGGGGTTAGCTGCTTTTACAGAGCGCCCAGGTGGAGGCTGACAGCCATCTACAACTCCAGTTCCAGATCAGTTGACAGGTCCTGCATACACATGGTGCACAGTCCTGCATTCAGGCAACACACCCAGACATATAAAATAAAAAGGAATAAATCATAGCCACAGGTAATGGTAATCTAAGCACTTCAAAGTCAGAGGCAGGCAGGCCGCTGTGAGTTCAAATCCAGCCTGACCTACATAGTGAGTTCCAGGACAGCCAGAGCTGCACAGGGAGACTGTCTCAAAAATAAATAAGCGTGGCAGTGGCATAGCACACCTCTAGTCCCAGAATTTAGGAGGCAGATCAGGCAGATCTCTGTGAGTTCCAGGCCAGCCTGGTCTACAGAGCAAGTTACAAGACAGCCAGGGTACACAGAAAAGCCCCCCACCCCTCTCTCACACATACAATAATAATAAATTAAATAATTTTAAAATATTTATTTATTTTATGTATAGGAGTGCTTTGTCTGCACACCAGAAAAGGCTATCAGATTATGAGCTGCCATGTGGTTGCTGAGAATTGAACTCAGGACCTCTGGAAAACAGCCAGGGCTCTAAACCACTGAGTCATCTCTCTAGACACTAAATAAGTCTTATTTATTGTTTTATATTGTTCTTGCTTATTTTACAGGAATACTAGAGGTTCAAGCTCAAGTCCTCACAACTACACAGCACATGCCCTTACCCACTGAGCCATGTTCCCTGCAAAATTATATGTATAATTATATATAAAATTATATATGTTATATTAATGTGTTATATTAATATATTATATTAATATTTAATTATATACTAATTAATATAAATATAATATTATCTAACTTTATATATAATTATAAATCTAGATGAATTCAGTCTCTGCTTTGAGGTATTAAGCAATAAGGCCAGATGATATGGTATATACATCACAGGAGACAAAAGCATTCATGAATTAACAGGCCTAAGAACTATCTTAAGAGTCTATTAGGAAGCCAGTAAGGGTCCGTCTGTTAGGAAGCCAGGTTGGATGGGCCCGTCTCAGTCATGTGATGCTCTGCACTGCCTTAAATCTCTGCAGAGTCCTCTACTTCAAGACAGCCCTCAACGGATCCAGTCCACCTTAGACTCCCAGCCTCCCAGAACCTTAAACTGAATGAACCTTTATTCTTTATAAATTAGTCAGTTGATGGTAGTGAGTTACAGCAACAGAAAATGGGAGTTAAGTGTCAAGCTATGGACCCAAACAATACTCCAGTTGTCTTTAAATGAAATTTAATTAACCTTTAGGAGACGGAGTTCTAGTAGCTCACACAGAATTCTGTGTGGCCTACAAAGAAATGACCGACCACCACCACTGCCGCCACCATCACCACCACTACCACTGCCATCACCACCACAACACCCCTGGTCTAAAACTGCTAGTTGCTGCTTCCTAGATGCAGAGGGCATTGTGCCATGGAACGTAGGCTGGTCTACAGAGGGAGCTCCAGGACAGCCAGGGCTACACGGACAAACTTGGTCTCAAAAAAACAATAATAATGAGGATGAGGATGAGGATGATAGGCTGGGGAGACAGATCAGTCAGTAAAAGGAAAAGGCTTGCTTTGCTAGAATGACAATCTGTATTTTCTCCCCAAGCACCCACTTTAAAAAGTCAGGCAGGATGGCCCACATTTCTAAATCCTCAGAAGATCCACACAGGTAGATCTGTGGGGTTTGCTAGCCAACCAGACTGGCATATGTGGCAAGCTCCAGACCATGTACACACACACACACACACACACACACACACACAAACACACACACCAGAGGTCCTAAGTTCAATTCCCAGCAACCACATGATAGCTAACAACCATCTATAATGAGATCTGGTGCCATTTTTTTCTGGTCATGCAGGCATACATGCAGATAGAGTACTCAAATATATAAAATAAGTAAGTCTATATATATATATATATATATATATATATATATATATATATATATATGTTTATTTAGCTTAGTGTCAAGGTTAAAATCCAGACAGCACGGTGCTGTCACATCATAGTGATAGCATTATCAGGAAAGGAGAGACCACCTGATGAAACAGGAGACAAGATGGCAGGGAAGAGCCAGGCTTGTTCCTTTACAAAAACTCTCTCAGTCCTGACATCATGACTTATAACTGGGACACAAGAAAGGCAGAGTCAGCTGGGCAGTTGTAAAAGAAACTTTTTGGGGGGTGGGTGGGTGGAAAGAGACAGGGTTTCTCTGTGTAACCTTGGCTGTGCTCGACCGACTTTGTAGACCAGGCTGGCCTCAAATCACAGCGATCTGCCTGCCTCTGCCTCTCTGTGTGCTGGGATTAAAGGTGTGTGCCATCATGGCCAGCTGTAAAAGAACTTTTATTTGCCAGTTTCAATTGTCTTGAAGGCTTACTGCCTCTGTCTGCTATCTAGTCCTAGAAGCTTCTAGCCTCCATACAATCTAAACTAGGCCTAGAATGTTTTCAGCCTCTGCGACTTACTTCTTAATAAGCTCACCCTTTCTTGTTCTTCCTGAGCTCTGGGCTGGCTGGTTCAACTCAGTTGTTCTGGCTCAAACTCCTCTCCTGGCTGACTTATTCAAACCTGGCTTTTCTCTCCGGCCCCTGAATTGCTCTGCTTAGCCTCAAACTAACTCCAGAAATCTTTTCTAATCTTCTGGCTCCTTCTCATCTGCTAGTTTGTTCTCTTTTTGCAACCTGTCTCTCTATTATTGTCCTCTCTCCCTCTGCATTGCCCCTTAAGTAGCTTCCCTGTCCTTTCTCTTCGCCTGAGAGTTGGGTGTATACTATTCTGCCAAATTTCTCTGATTTGTCACGTTTTCTGCCACTTAATTAAACATCACTTTCAAGAATGGGTGCTTCCTTCTACAAACTAACTTTACCTTCATTGTTTGGGATTAAAGGTGTGTGCCACCATGCCTGCACCTAAACTTTTCTTTACTTTAAACTTTCTCTATACCAGGCTGGCCTTGAGCTCAGATTTGTTTGCCTCCTGGATTAAAGTCATATTTGTATTCCAGCCAGATCACACAGACCTAGAAGGTCTTTGGACATGATCTCTTGCCAGAGTAGCCATGTTTTGAACCAAAATTCCTCTACAGGCAGTGATGGCGCACTGCCAGCACTTGGGAGGCAGAGGCAGGCGATCTCTGTGAATTTAAAGCCAGCCTTGTCTACAGATGAGTTCCAGAACAGCCAGAGCTACACAGAGAAACCCTGTCTTGAAAAACAAGAAAGAGAGAGGCAGAGAGACAGAGAGAGGAAGGAAGGAAGGAAGGAAGGAAGGAAGGAAGGAAGGAAGGAAGGAAGGAAGGAAGGAAGGACGAACACAGGAAGAAAGGAAAGGCAGGGTCAGAAGGGTAGTAAGTTCAAGGTCGGCCTGGGCTACATAGGGAGACCTTGTCTCAAAATCCAAATCAACCAAGGTAATCACTCCCAGAACATCACCCTTCTTATGAGCATTACCAGATTCCCACATGAGCAGCATTAGTCCCTTCTAAGAGTTGCACCCATGGGCCTCACCTCTTACGGTTCTAGTCCCACACCACCACCCTGGAGACCATGAGCTTCCAAGTCAGGTGCCCTTGGGGAGGGGAGTGGGGTGGACAAATGTAGACAACTCACCCACCGGAGAGTCTTTCCCTTCTGTTTGTTCCTGAGTCCTCCGGTTCCTCCAGCGGCTAACTGGTCGGCTGTCAGAAGCAGAGGCTCCATGATCATACAGTTCCAACTCCAGTCCCCCAGAGGACAGGTATGACCTGCTCCCTTCAGTATTATTTACTCACCTGTAAAGTAAGTACACCTCAGGAAATTGAACAGGAATGTGCCCTGGAGACAAGAGTTAGGTGAAGAGAGGCAGTTCCGTTAGCATGCTGTTTGTGTCTTCTTCCTTTAGGGACAACGAATTTGGGTTCTCCCTGTTGTCTAGACCTGCATTTGTTCTTTCTGCCTTCCTGTGCTCTGCCAAGGTCAGGGGTCTCTTGACTCTGCCATTTTATCCTGCCACCTGAGTGAGTTTCCTGATGTTGTTCAGAGGCCCGGCTTCCAGTCAGTCTCAAGGGATTTCATGAGGCTGCAGTGTTAGAATGTAGCCTCTGCTCAGCCCGCAGTATCTGTAACATCCTCCCCTCCCCCGCCCCTTCCCCTCCCGTTTCACAGAAACCTCTTCCATCCTCAGAACTAAGAAGAGGCTTCCACCTGGGCTGACTCCACTCTTCAGAGACCTGGCCATTCCCTGTCTCTGGGGCCTGAACGCTTCTCGGAGGTCCCGTCATGCTTTTGTCTCCCTGTCTGCCTGTACACCGCATCAATAGCTCTAATAAACTTTTTCTTCCCAGTGATTCATTTCAGTGTCCCAAACCCTTTCACCACCATTGAGTTTTTCTTGGTGTAAACTGGAGGTCAGGGCACATTCAAGTGCATGAAATGCTTACAGTGCACTGGGCACCGTGTGGGAGGGGTGGGAATCAACAGTGGGAAGGAGGAATTGATAACCAATAACATACTCTACAGCTATGTCTTTGGTAAGAAGGTTCTCCAAAAAGTCTCGTCTGGGGGACGGGGGAGGTCTGCCTTCCTCAGTGAGTTAACCTGTTGATTATATTCGTCAGAGTTGATCCATAGAGCACAGGCTGGCTTTGAAGAGCCCAGCCGCGGGGTGGGCGGATGCGTACCACCACGCCCAGCTTCTGGTTTGTTTGTTTGTTTGTTTGTTTGCCCCTACTGGACACGCAAACTACCACCGAGCTGCATCTCCAGCAAACAACAAACTCACAAAAACCCCACGAAACACAAAAGGCTCTCAGGTCGAACCAGAAACGCTAACTGCAACTTTGGGAGGCTGCAGAGGTCAGGGTGAGAGCAGGGCAAGGTGGGCGTGCCTTCACCGGAGGGACTTCCAGAAGCCCACGTCCAGGGACGGACCCAGCGCGCTCCCACTTGGGACTGGTGAACTTTCTCGGGGGCGTGGCCTCGGGCTGCGCGCGCAAACTCTTGGGCCCACCCTGGTCTGCGATTGGCGAACGTGATCCGGGGCGGAGCCTCGGAGGGCCCGTGAGCATGCGCAGTCAGGTAATTAGGTGCGACCTCGGCGTTCGGCTTCTGAACCATGGCGGTGTCTCTCCTGCTGCGGGGAGGACGAATCTGGGCGCTGAAGGTAAAGGGCGAACGGGCGAGACCTACCAGGCCCCAAGCCTGACCCTCGGCAAGCCTGACCTCAGCTGCACCCGTGGGCTCGGTGCGGTGAGAGGGGTCCCAGGGTTTGTGCTCACCTGACCCGGAGAGAAGGGCTTTCTCTGCAGGAGCAAAGCCGAGGCTCCTTGGCTGTTCTTAAAACTTAACCTGGCTTTCTCTGCAAAACCAGTGTTGGGGTTTGTTCGGGGATGGATCCTAGAGCTCTGCCCTTGCTTGCCACGAGCTGTCATTGAACTGCCCCAAACAGGAATTGCTCACAGAGAGGGTCCCCGTCGTCAGATGGGCACTATTTAGTGCCCCTCCCTTTTTTTCACCGTGTATCGGTACACATAATTTGTACACACGCGGAGAATAATCGATATAAGCAGAAGTTTTCTCGTTCTTTTGGGGGCCCGGCATAAAGCACCCCAGGACCTAGCACGTACCTTAGCGGCTGCCTGCGCAAGTACCGTAAGATTCTTCTCAGGTTGTAACATTTCTGGAGCCATTGCCTACATTCTCTTTACTAGTTGATAACGTTTCTGCAGCTTTCCTAAGTCAGGGAGATAATTTTGCAAAAAGAAACAGTATTTTACAGAGTAACAAAATAAGCGACAGGATAAACTGGCTGTGGCTTCTAGGCCCAGGAATCTGGACTGGGCTGAGAGCCCGCTGGGCCTTGCGTCCAGGATTCTGGCAGGCCAGGTGATGGCAGAGGTCCAAGAGGCCAGCACCCCCTCCCCATGTCAAGTCCGGTTTGTCTAACTGGGACTTTTTTGGACAAGTGGCGGCAAGCTCTTCTGCCAGCAGCACCCGCCTGTCATCTCTCCCCTACCCCCTGAGCCCAAGGTTCTGCAGAACACAGGACCAGGCTCTTCTCCACGATGTCCCAAAGGTTTGTATAAAGAAGGTTTCAAATGTCTTTGTTTTTTATATTTTTATAAGATTTATTTATTATTTATATAGTATTTTGCCTGTATGTGTGCCTGCATGCCAGAAGAGGACACCAGAGCTCATTATAGATGGTTGTGAGCCACCATGTTGTTGCTGGGAATTGAACTCAGGACTCTTTGGTTGCTGGGAGTTGAACTCCGGACCTTTGGATGTACTCTTAACCTCTGAGCCATCTTTCCAGCCCCTCAGGACTCTTTGGAAGAAGAGTCAGTGCTCTTAACCCCTGAGCCATCTCTAGCCCACGTCTTTATTTTTTTTTTTTTTTTAAAAAAAAAAACTTTCCAAGTGTCTATTTTGGGAAATTTTTTCAAAGATTAGGGAAATGAAGATGTTCTCATTCACACAGTGATTGTCCTGAAATTTGGGTATGTTTTTCTTGAAGCTTTTTTTTTTTTTGTACCTTTCAAAATAGTCATAATTCCCGTATGTCTTGAACATTGTAATAAATGTGCCACATGAATACTATTGTATAGCATTCGCATTATAATGACCCTTACCAAGGTGGGTATCTTTGTTGACTCTCCCCAGGCTGTGCTCCTGGAGGCCAGGGTGCCCCAAGAACTGGCTTCTGCTGTGGCCCTCTCTACAGAGTCAGGGACGAATGAAACGGGAATACAATCAAATCCCAAGAAGCGAAGTGCAGCCACAGGTGAGATTTTTAAGAGATGGTCTCAGGGGGCAAAGAATGAAAAGTCAGGAGCATGAAATGAGTTTGACCGGCCACATACCCTAAGGTTCTTCATCTTCCTAGGGTCCAGATCATAATCAGATACAAGATCGGGACACAGCAGTGATGTACAGTGGTGCTTTCTAAATGCCCAGCTCAACAGGGAGAGCAGAAGGGCCCTGGCATTTCTGAGGCTCTAGAGGACACGTGCCAGTGTGAAATAATGAGACCTATCCTACTTTCCTTTCCCTGGCTTCTGGCTTTCCTGTCTCTCCAAGACTCTAGTGAGTTTTTCCTAGTGTACCTCATCACCATCCTGAGCCAGCGTTTCTGCTGTGCTGGCACTCAGCTGGTGCCTGGTTGGTTTCCAGCTCTTTGTGACATCATTTTGATTTCTGTCACATTTCCCCCCCTCTCTGAATGCCTCACACCAGGCAAGCAGGAACTGCAATGCATCTTAAATGCTTCTCTCCTGAGAATAATTTTGTTTCCTATGCCTTGCTCAATTGTGTATGTATGTTTTTTTTAATGGATCATGAACTAGGTTCATTGAATTTAGTTTCTTAATTCATGGAGCCCTGATCTACCCCAAACAACTATGTAGAACTGCTTCTTAGCAAAGCTTCCATCATAACACACGGGACCATGGAGTGGTAATTGAGTTCGGTCTTAGTTTCACTAAAAATAGTATTTCTTCAGCTTGAGTATGTGAAACTAGAGAGTCTTCTGTTTTCTCCCTGTCTGAGTACTGGCTATCAGTAGGTGTTAAATGTTTGCACTGCCTGCCCACAATCTTTCCTGCTCTACACACCACACACACACACACACACACATATCTCCATAAGCCCCACAACAAAGGTGTCCTAGCATGAATTACAGAGGGACATGATTCAGCTCTGCCTAAACCTGCCTGATTTTTAAAACACAATGCTCCTTTCCTTTTGGATGCATTGAAAAATACAAATATGAAACATGAGGACTGTTTAAAACAACAACAAAACATATAATCCCAGTGTGTGCCCAAGAAAGGTCTGCAGCAAGAACGTCAGTGAACTTGGGTACCATGTGTAGCATGGTCTTTTGTTTGTTTGTGCATGCTGTGGCTTGAATCCAGGGTTTTGCCTAGTCTGGAATGCTATGACTGCTTCCTGGAGAGTGACTTAGATTTTAATACTAACTGTGTCCTCTGTGTCTCTGGTAGATTGTTAAGTTATGTCTATAATCCTATCTCTAGATACATGATTTTAGACTAACTGGATTTTAGGACCCAAGAGCCTTCTACATAAGAACAGATGTCTGTGTGAATAGAAGTGTCTTCCTGGGAAGGTTTGGGAAGGGAGACCTGGCCTGAGAGTCGGCCTGGGATTCCCATAAAGCCCCTGCCCATGGGCCCTGCAGCCACCTGAGCCTGTACGTTTGCCACTTCCCTGGGTGCTGTGGGGCGATGAATCTGTGCTGTGGGTGTGGGTGTGGATGGCAGTGGGCTTTGGGGTAGAAGATGACCTTCAGAAATAAATTGTCTTCTGTGCATAGTACACTTGTCTGTTATAATTTCTCTGTACAGAGAAAAAGAAATAGTGCTTCTAAGTAGCCTCAGATAGGCCTGAGTTTTCCCTAGAAGTGCCAGGGACTTGAAAGCATTGAACCAGCGAGGCTTTGGGACCCTCTGGGGCTCCCTGCATCTATTCAGCCCCTAGCCCAAGGGTCGGGGCCCACCCTTGAGGACAATATTTTCTGCCCTATCCTGGAGGCTCCCATCTCTTAGCAGCATGCAAAGCTGCTGACACACGTCAGTACCAAGGTGCTCCCACTGGCCCTTCTTGGAGATGTCCCTGGCTTTTCTTTGCTATCTGACTGAATCCCGTCACCATGCCACCGTTGCACAGATCTGTGAGTTACTAGCTGAGCAATTTTCACATTGCTTTTCTTCAAGTTGGTTTTGGTTTTTTTCTGTGGTCTTGCTATGTAGTACATGTTGGCCTTGAACTCTGGAGTGCTAGGATTGACAAGTGTGCACCATCGCACCTTGCTTTTGAGTAGCTCTTTAAGAGTACAAAGCCAGAGTAAGTTGTTCTCCATCCAGGGTCGAGTCCAGGCTTAAGAAGTGTGTCATTTCTAAAACTAGAGGTTAGCCATGTTAACCACAGGCTAAGGGTGGAGGGAGCGCTGTTCTGAACACTTCCCACACGTTACCTGCACACCTCTTACCAATGAGCTAGGTATCACACCAAAGAGGTCTGCTTCGGGCCTTGACATTCCGGCCTGTTCCCTTCTCTATATTCTAGTCACTGTGCTGTCTCACTTCTGGAGGAAAAAAAAAAAAAAAAATCTAGATTCTCCTGCATTCTTTTTTTTTTTTTTTTTTAAAGTCTGTACACACATGTAATCCTAAACCTATAAAATCTGAGTGATTTTAGTCTCCAGACATGTTTAAGGTACATTTGTGAGTGTGCTTTGTTTCTTGGGTTAGTTTTATAAATCATTAACACTACATAGGAATATTTCAAGGTTGCTAATTCGTTTTATTATTTACACACATTTATTAACATGTGTGTGTAGGGTGGTGTGTGTGCGTGCCATTGTGTGGCTTTGTGTATGTGAGTGCAGTGCCCACAAATAGCAGAAGAGGGCATTGGATACCCCGGAGCTGGAGTTACCAGCTATAGTGAGCCACCCAAGGTGGGTACAGGTTGCTGAACGGGGCTCTCTGCGAGAGTAATAGGTGCTCTTAACTGCTGAGCCGCCCTCCCCACCCTGCTAGTACACGGCCGCCCTCTCTTCTTTGACAGAAAGCTTGAAGACTGTGTTCTCCATTTTCAGCCAAAGAGAAAAGAGATTCAGAAACTTGAGCTGTGTCTTCAGAGGAAGATGGGGCGGCAACAGGGAGAAATGGTTGGCACCATCTGTGTTGGTAGACGTAGCTGTGTGCAGGCTGCTGTGGTCCCTGTGGAACGAGCAGCCCCATGCACATTCCCCTCTGTGCTCTGAGAGGAGCCTACAGGAGTTGGGGGTAGGCAAGCAGGTGCCCTGTTACACTGTCTGCTGAGGAGAGCCGGTCTTTAGCTAGAATGCCATGAGAGGATGCCACATCCTGCGTCCACACACGGATTGTGCTCCTCAGAGGTCATGGTCACCTGTGACCTGCTCCGCCGGATGCAGACTTGCTGTGGATGCTGGTTCCAGGTGGCAACCGTGGATCCATATGGCAGGCTTCTGTCCTGGAGCCCAGAGATGAGGGCAGGGCCAGGGCTGGGCAGGACAGAAGGTGACCCTCCATCAAAAGCAAAACCAGATCTCGAATCTGTTAGCCTTTCCTTGCACTTCTTCCTGTAACCAACGAGAAGAAGAGAAGCTGCCCAGGCCTTCTCATTCCACACGGTGAAGTCCCCTTGTCAGGCCGGGTTTGCCTGTCTGGAACGTCCTTTCTGTTTCATAGGTAAATAACCTATAATGTAAGTTTTTATCCCCTCTCTCTCTCTCTCTCTCTCTCTCTCTCTCTCTCTCTGTGTGTGTGTGTGTGTGTGTGTGTGTGTGTGTGTGTGTGTGGTTATTAAACCTGGGACCCTGCATGTGCCCAGCACACACTGTATCACTGAGCAACACCTCAGCCCCAGTGATGTAGTTTTATAACTCATTACAACTTTCTAAATTCCCAAGGGCTAAGGAGAGGGCTCAGTGGTAGTTTGCCTAGTATGCCTCAGGTCCTGGGTCCAGTCACAAGCATAAAAACAAAATCCGAAATTCTCAGCATATTTTGGAAGAGTCAGTCCATCCATCATTTTCCTATTCAAAATAGCCTTCCGGGAACTTTGTTTGTTTATTTTAATTTTTGGATGGCGCTGTATGTAGCCCAGGCTAGCTTCAAACTTGCTATGTAGCTGACCTTGAACGTGTGATCCTCCTGCCTCAGAGTGCTAGGACCATAGTCATGTACCGCCACACCCATTTTAATGCAGTGCTGGTTTGGAGCCCAAGGCCTATTACACGTCCAGCTGGCACTGTGCCAGCTGAGCCGCACCCCGAGCCTAAGGTCATGTCCTATTTGCAGTAGTCCAGCTCAGGAAAATGCCAGTGCTGCAGATGAGCGGCTAGCTGGATTAGGAGCCACGCATCTGGCTGCTGTGAATTCTGAGCTGTGCGGTTGTGGCTCAGGGAGCAAGCATGTGCTGCCCTGCCCCGCTGCACTACTCAGCAACGGCTGCAGCTGTGTGCGCTCTGAGTCACCACGTCAGTCCCTCAGGCAGGGTCAAGACAGACCCAGCCCGTGTGTGAACCAGGGCTGGGTCAAGCCGTCACCCCCCGCACTGGCTCTGGTCATTTCATTTCGCCGTGCCTGTCACTCTTTCTCCGGCTCAAGAGACTTCACTTGTCTTTGCTCCTACCAGTTACAGGTTTCCCCTTGTGTAGGGTGATGACTGTGGGTGAGCAGGCCTGATCCTACTATGGAGGAGGAGGGGGCACACAGTTTTAGTGTGTATGTAGCCCCGTCTTAAGGACCCTGTCTGTCCACTCCTATGGAGAATGTTTGGTCCCACTTCAGGCCCGAGGGCAATTTACCATAGGAATAACTTGTCCTGTGTTTTTCTGGTTAGAAAGATAGATACCCAAGAAGATTAAATGAAATTAGCAGTAAAGTGATTTTTTTTTTAAATTTTTATTTTGCCCTTTCATAAGTGACTATGAAATGTAAGATTTTTTCTGTTAGGATTCATCTAGCTTTTTCTGCAGTTTAACATCTGTTTCCAGTGATATGGTATTGAATTATTTTAGACTTTTTGGTTTTGTAAAACTTGTTTTCTTGGCTGAAGAAATCCCCATGTGGCCTGTGTGAGTTTTGAGGACTTTTCTTCCTTTTTAGGGCAACATTTAAAAAGCTGTTGCCACTCCCTCCTGCTCCCCTCACAGGAACGCCCCAAACAGACTCTTGTCTAGACCTGCTGTTTTGTTCAGAAAAGTCAAACTGTGAACTTTTACTGAGAAGCACCAAATGCTTGAGTGATCTTAGCACTTCGAGAAATTGTGCATTTGTAAAACCTGTATAGTCAACTCTAAAGATCTGCAGGAGTCTAACTTATAAATTTGAGTGAGATCGTTTAAAAAAAATTACTATTTAGGAAGCAGTGAGTGAGGAATGGAGTCCGTTTGTGGCCCTGGTTGGTGAGAACGTCCCTCATTGAAGGTTCTGCTGAGTCAAGTCTGCCCACTGCTGCTGCTGCCCCAGCACCTGTGGGGGTTCCTGGGACCTCTCTTGGCAGGGCCAGTTCCCTGGACCGCATTAGAACACGCTGATATGCAATGCACTGTGTGTAGCTCTGAGTTGTTCTTTAAATAATAAATGTTCCTCTTTATGCCGTTTCCCAGATGTGGTGGGAGCAGAGGAGAGAGGCAAGCCCCTAGCCACTCACACAGCAGCCGCACTGGCCAAAAGCACGTCTCCACCCAGTTCTTACCCATCGGTGGAGAACACAGGTGGGGCCGTAGCCGGCCCACACCCCAGTGGCAGCCTGCTGCGCACAGATGACGGGCTTCTGAAGCGTTTGTCAAGAAAGACTCTGGTAGAGTTTCCTCAGAAAGTTCTGTCTCCTCCACCCTGGGCCCAGGGTCCTGATTCAGAGGCTCGGCGGCATGTGCAGAAGGTGACAGATGACTCGTCCTCATCCAGCTCCTCAGATTCAGACTCTGATGAGGAACGTGACTCAGACGTTGGTCACCGAGTGGCAAGTCAAGGCAAGGCAGGGTCTTCCAAACCAAAGGCTTCCCGTCCCTTCGAAAACGGAACCCCTAAGATCACAGTTTCTGCAAAAGAGAAAGGCAAGGTGCAAAAGCCACACACAGGTGACACCTCCCAAGAGAAGTCCCTGCAGCTGAAAAAGAAAGGGACTGTCGCCAAGCCTGCAGAAGACCTCAAAAAAGCCAGGTCCAAGCCCACGGCATCCAGTTCACGGTCTAATGAGATTTTGGAGCAAAACCTGAAGGAAGAACACCAGCAGGGGAAACCGAGACCAAGGGAGACAGGGAAGGAAAGCCCAAAGCCACTCGAAGCTGAAAGAATCTTATCCGACCACACAAAAGCCAGGCGATCTGCACAGCTCACTAGTGGCCCAGTGCCCACAGCGAGAACACAAGAGGCCAGTGCAGGACAGCGGCCAGCTGCCGCCCCACTGGCCAAAGCCGGACATCCGGGACCGGAAGTGCCAGAGCCCACGGGGAAGGCTGCTCCTCTGGTCAGAAAAAGCCTGGAGAAGCAGGTACCAGAAGGATGCTCAGAGGCCGAGGAGAGCTTGGAGGATCAGAAACTAGTTCTGAAGAAGACAGTTCCTGTTCAGAAGAAAGATACCTTCGAAGAGAAAGCAGGACCACAGCTGGAGGGGAGGTTCCAGGCCGAAGTTGGCGAAGCCACACCCACTGATGCAGGCCCACCCCAGGAAGTCCCAGGCGACACTCAGGGTACACCTTGCCTTGGTTCAGACTCTCCTTGTCCTGTAGGGTATATAGATTCTAAGAACCCCCTTGAGTTTCTGTGTGTTTAGAAAGCAGTATCCTTTTTTTTTTTTTTTAACAGACTTAACGTAGCTCAGGCTTGATTTCAAAATTGCTAGGTAGCTAACACTGGCTTTGCACTCCTGATCCTCCTGCCCCAGCAACTAAGGTGCTGGCTTCAGGCATGCACCACTTGGCCTCATTTAACTATTTCTTAGATGGCTTAATTTATGGAAACTGATAGTTAGCATCACCACACTTAACCTTGGAGGGTTTCCACGCACACATTTCATCCTGCCGAGCAGCAATCGTCCAGAGCTTCCACAGGTCAGGAGCAGCAGTCACACTTGGCAGTGATAACCCTCGGGTGGACTGAACTAGATAGGTGCCTTGCTGAACTAAAGCAAGTGCTAGCAGGCAGGCAGCCACGGCTTGCATCGTGGACTTTTTACAGCACAGCACACAGGGCTGTTTAATCTCCAGTGAGTTTCTAAGGAGGGGCCTTTCAGGGGGGACAGTACTCCTGTGAAGCTTTGTGGTCTCGCACGTGTGTGACATCCTCTGGGCAGCTCCCTGGGAAATTGGAATTCCTTGATTTTGTTAAAGTCTTCAGTTGCTGGAACCTGTCTTAAGATGTGGCATGGCTAGCAAGGCCTGGTCCCTGCACCTGTGTGTCATTCCCAGCCCATCCTGGCCTAACTTGCATCCCCTGTGTGCTAACTATTGCTCTTCCAGGAAACTGACAGCATTTGTTTTCTTCCTTTTCCATTGCCCCTTTCACTAATATGCCAGGTACTAGTGTATGCCAGACTGCCTAAGACCTTGGGGCCTGCCTTCCTGATGCCATTGCAATTTTCAGACTCGATCTCAACTGGACAGGAGGGCCTCAAACCTAGGATGAAGGCCCCTAGGGCCGGGGATTTCTAGGTTGTTTCTGGGGGGAGACCACAACGACTCACAGGGCTGTCTGTGTAGCTCAGTGTGGGGCTTAGTCAGTGAGTAAGGTCCTGGGCTCAGTTTCCAGCACTGTGGAAACAGGCTTACCTCCCCCAACCTTCCAACCCTCCTTGCTAGCAGGAGAGGCTTAAAAAGTGCTCCTTGCCTGAAGCTCCTTGCTTCCAGGTAACCCCCGGCTCCCATCAGCTGCTGCCTAACTATGTAGTCCATTGCTTTCAAGGTACGCCTTCAGCACACTGAAGATCTTCAGCTTGGTGAAGAAGACAAGATGCCAGCTCTATAAGATCATTTTGCTTCTTTTCCTTCCTTCCTTCCTTCCTTCCTTCCTTCCTTCCTTCCTTCCTTCCTTCCTTCCTTCCTTCCTTCCTTCCTTCCTTCCTTAAATGACAAGAGACCGCTTTTGGATTTGGAATAGAGAAATCCGTATTTAAGTTGGTGGTGTGTATGTGTGTATGTTTTTGGTTTTTGTGCAGTGCAATGTGACTAGAAATTGAGACAGCTCTACTGACCTGATTCCTAGAGAGCTGGGAAGAGTGTGAGCCCAGACCTTGTCCTGTGGCCCCCGCTAGCCCTGTTTTGTCTCCTGTCTTGTATTCATGTTGCAGAAGAGCCACGTCCTTTTGCTTCGGGCCCACACTTCCACTTTTAAGATTACCAAGTGTTTAGGTGTATAGATTTATTTTTTTTCCACTTAAGATAAAAGGCTAAATTTCTGTTTTTGTTGGGTTTTTTTTTTTTTTCTCTATTGAATCTGAAGATAACCATTTTCCTTAAAAAGTTAAACTGGCAAAACTACATCTCCTTCCTAGTTCTCATGTTGATTTTTATCGTTATTGTAACAGTCAGATTTTTCTCATATCTGTGCATGGAAATCATCACTTTCCAGGGAAAGTGATGTTCTGTGTATTTTTATATAACCTGGAAGTCCATCCACAGGTCCTTCTACATTTATAGAGTTCAGGGCCTAGAAGTGCATAAAGTACCTCTTTACGCATGTATCGATGTTAGGTTCATCGATCTAAAATAAGGAGCGAGGCGGCCTTGTCCTGTCCTGTCTCATAAATGTTAGGATCTGCCATTGTATTACCAAAATCAAAGCAGAGAGCTGTCCTGTCTCCCGGCCGTCCTGTGACGCAGCTATCATGGGGAAGGCATCTGTGGCAGGGTTAGAGGTTTGACAGCATTGCCTCTGTGTACTTCATGATTACACTTCACTGGAAAGACAAAATAAGTTTCAGCATAAGTTTTCAGATGACTTCTCTATATTGTCAAGGTCTCTTTCTCTGGTCAACGCGCTCACTAGCACAGACCTCTGCTCTACAGCGCCCAGACAGGCATGTGTCTTGACAGCTCTCCCATCACTTCCTTCTACAGAGCCCACTCCAGCCCCTGAGCCGATGGACATGACCACCTACAAGAACCTGCAGCATCATGACTACCACATCTACACCTTCCTCGACCTGAACCTGGACCTCTCCAAGTTCAGGATGCCACAGCCCTCCTCAGGGCGAGAGTCGCCTCGGCACTGAGCTCAGCTCAGGGCAGCCCCATGTCAGCCCATGAATTCTTGCCTGTAAGAATAAAAGCCAGTCACAAAGCTCCAGATGTGGTTATTTTCCCCTCACACTGTCCAGACCAGAGAAAGAATTAGCGACACCCGTGACTATTTGTGTAGAGTCTGTGGCATCCTCCAGGGGGCCACAGTGAGATGTTCACAGATCTTCCTTGAGACGTTAAACTGTATCATCCTAACAAGGCCTAAGGGATGTTGTCTGTTGGGTACCACATCCCTGTTTAACTGGCAGTCCACAGCCAGCCAGAGGGATCCAGAAAATGAGAGAAACAAAGCTGCCGGGCCCTCTCAGCTTGGTACTGGTCTACAGCTGCGGTGACTGCTAGATCTGAGCCGCAGCCTGGATAACTGGGAAACGGTTACACAAAGAATATGTGCGTGTGGAGAGAAAGAATAGAAACTGGGGAAAGTTACACTGATTTAAACTACATTACACAAAAAAATGTGTGTGTGTGTTTAGAGAGAGAGTAGAAACTGGAGATAGGAGTTACACTGATTTTAACTACTACATTACACAAAAAATTAAGTGTAGATTACACTGATTTTAGCTGTAATTTTATGTAAAGAGTGCCCAGCCTGGCCTCCAACTCAACCCTGTCGCTTCAGCTTCCCTCTTTCCAGGATACAGACATGTGCCACCACGTCCTTAAGGGTCAGCTGTGTACCTGCCAGGACAGCAGAGCCTCTGGTGACCACAGCAAATCCTGAGCTACTGTAACTGTTTATTGACCGGGAAAACCATCACGGAAATTCAGGACCAGTGAGCACTGCTATGCACGTCAAGGGTCTCAGCCCCAGGCATGGTGTGGGGGACAGACTGACTCCAGCGACGGCCAAGGTCACATGGGGGCACGGGTGACAAGTGTGGTCCGCTGAGGTATTGTCTTGGGTTTCCTGTTCCTGCCCTTCACGTGCTTGCTGTGAGCCCATGCTGGGGTTCTACTGGTCTGAGTCCTGGTGCTTGGCCTCCAACCTGCACAGCACATCGGGTGCAGACGGTCTGACCTCACGTTCCTGCGGTCACACCTCTCAGCATCGGTTCAAGTGGAAGACTTTCCCAGGGATACTGCGATCCTCTGTTGGTTTGGTGGCCAGCACACGGTTCAGCAGCTCAACAAAGGCCTTCTTCGTGAAACTTAGTCTTTCAGTCTCTCACGTTTATATAACGTGCTTTGGTCACACCCCCATTACCCACTCCTGTCCCCCCCTCCACCCCACTGACCCAATTCTCAACAAGCCCCACTCCTACCTTGATGTCTTTGTGTGTGTGTGGCCCGCTGCATTTAACTAGGGTTGCTGATGTGAGCATGGGTTGGGGGAGCAGGGGGACTCAGTTTCTATTGCTGTGAGAAAACACCATAACCAAAAGCAACTTAGGGAGGAAAGGGTTTATTTTATCTTACAGCTTAACAGTCCATCACTGAGGGAAGCCTGGGCAGGAGCTAGACAGAAACTAGAGGGAAGCAGAGGCCATTGAGAAACTTCATTTCTGGTTTGCTTACCATGGCTTGCTCAGCCCGTGTTCTTACATAACCCAGAATCCTCTGCCCAGGGGTTGCGTGGCCCGCAGTGAGCTTGGTTCTTCCGTCTTGCCTGGGAGCAATCTGATGAGGCATTTTTCTCAGTTGAGGTTCCTTTTTTCTAGGTTTTGACCTTATCTAAGATTGTGTCAAGCTGACAAAAAAATGACCGGCACAAGGGTCAACTTATTAATAACTATACCACTGAGGAATATGACCATCCCTCAGCAACCTCTGCTGGTAGCTTCATAGGGAGGAGTGGGGCCACGTGAGCCCCTCCCCCATTCCTGCTCCATGTTGATTGGCTCAGCCTAGTTCGAGTTGCGGCTGCTGCTTTGGTGAGTTCATGAGTACAGTGACCATGTCATGTCTCGGTGACATTCCACAGCCCTCTTCCTCATCTTCTGGCTCTCACACTCCCGAGACCTTCTCTCAGCTTTGGATGGGGTGGAATAGATGTCCCATTTAGAACCGAGCACCCAACAGTGACTTATTCTCAACCCGAGTTGCCAGCCTCTTTTTTAACTGACACCAACTGTACAGAGAATCAAGACTGAGAAGAGCACCGATTGTATCTGCATCTCACCTGTCACCACGGGTCTCCTAGTTACATTTCTAATTAAGCCTCTTAAACATCGTACCAAACAAAAATGGGAATCAGTAAGAGTTTCTAGAATTCACCCGTACTAGCCCAGATAACATCAACACCTCCCTCGATAGAGATGGCTTAAGGCAGACGTAGCCATTTTTAACGTTCAGACTTTTGGCTTTAGATTAACAGCTCTTCTGGGCTGGAGAGATGGCTCAATGGTGAAGAGCTCTGTCTGCTCTTCCAGAGGTCCTGAGTTCAATTCCCAGCAACCACATGGTGGCTCACAACCATCTATAATGTGCTCTGATGCCCCCTTCTGGCGTGCAGGTGTACATGCAGATAGAGTATTCATATACATAAAAATACATTTTAAAAAGATTAACAGCTCCTCAAACATAAGCCAACATGTGTGTGCAGTGTATGTGGGGATGTGAAACTTTGGGTGAAAAGGAATATACAAGTTGTATGTGTGTGTACATGTGTCATGTGTGTGTGAGAGAGAGAGAGAACATGTGGAGATAAGAGGACACTCTGCAGAAGTCGATTTTTCTCTTTCCACTATCTGGGTCCAGGGGTCAGAACTCAGGTCACCAGGCTTGGCAGCTCCTACCCTCTGAGTCATCGCTCTAGTCCCAAGGGTAAGTACATGCCGAACTCAACAGGAATTATGAGGCCTGAGCCATTCTTGCCTTGGAACTGGTCCCTCTGGGCTGTCTCAGCCTTCTTGGCAGTTGGCTCACTGCTCACTGAAAGGCCTGAAAGACAATGACGAGCAGCCCCAGGCACGGTCACAGCTGGCGCTTCCTGGGTACTCCATCTGGTAGCGATGGATGCAGATGTTACCCTCACAGTCAGTTGGGGGCGGTGGTTGTCTGTTGTTTTCTCGTGCTGTCTTAAAGACTACTAACAGAGCATCTGTGTGGCTTGAATGTGCCTGTGCTTTGTCACTTCGCTAGATTCTGACCCGTGTCACATACTATGAGCTTCCCTGCTGCTTTCCTTTGGCTGAATTTTAAAACCAGTTTGACATGTATGGTTCTGGTGCCTATTTTTCTGTCACCAGCACTCTGACATCTTTTCTCGATGGTGCTTCCTCACACCTGGTGCAGATGCTCACAGACCGGAGCAGGTTGTATACAAAGTCACCTCAGCCCTTAAAGATAGCAGCAGCCCACCGGGCACATGGCCTTTATTTAATCCCAGCGCTAGAGAGTCAGAGGCAGGTGGATCTCTGAGTTCTAGGTCAGTCTGGTATACAGGAGTGAGTTCTAGGACAGCAAACGTTGGACAGGAGTGACCCCGAGTGGGAGGCCCATGACAGTCATAGTTCTATCACCATCTTGAAGGCCAGTCCAGACCTCACCCTCACACTGACATGGGGTTACCAATCCCTTCTGTGTGTTGTCTGATGGGTACCTCTGCCCTGCTGGGTTCATTAGGATAAAAGTTCTGCAGCCTGAGCCCTGAGGGCAAGCTGCTTGGCGGATAGCCGTGGTCCCAGACTATTGCTCTACATGTTTTTTGAATGATTGTCTATGGCTTTGCCTGTGTCTGGAGCATGTTTCTTGTGACATATCTCTCTACATATGGTCTTCATTTTTTCCTACCGAGACATGTAACCAGCAGTGGCATCAGTCTGTTCACTTTTCTTCTCTGCTACCACCACCTCACTGCCTCTGTGCAGGGTACACATCAGTTACAGTGAAAGACAGAGCCCCGTCACAGATAGAATTCAGACCAAACAATCATGGAAGTCGGGGGCTGAGGAGGTGGCTCAGAGGTTAAGAGCACTGGCTGCTCTTCCAAAGGTCCTGCGTTCAATTCCCAGCAACCACATGGTGGCTCACAACCATCTATAATGAGATCCGGTGCCCCCTACTGGTGTGCAGGTATACATGCAGGCAGAATACTGTACACATAATAAATACATATTTTTTAAAAAATTTTAAAAAATCATGGAAGTCAGACAGCACGGAGAAGGAGGGCATGATGGCAGGTCAGAGCACCACTCACCTTCTAGAGCAAGCAGTCACCTTTGTCACAACTGTGTACCGAGCTGTAAAGGAAATGAGATAAACAGAAGCTGACAGGTGAGGGCCAGTGAGATGGCTCATTGAGGAGAGGCACTTGCTGCTAAGCCTGAGGACTTGAGTTCAATTTCCTGGACCCACAAATCAGTAGGAAAGAACCGACTTCCTCGGGTTGTCCTGTTTCTGTTCATGTCCAATGACACATGCGTATCCCCACATATACATACACACCCATGCACATGCGCACTACATGGGTATAATAAAAATAAATAAAGGTGGAGAGCAATTGAGGAAGACACCCGATTTGACCCCAGGCCTCCAAACACGTATAAACTCCTATACGATAAGTACATATAGCACACACAACCCCACAAAACACACACACCACAAACAGCACCAACAAAATCCAGAAGCAGGTGGCACTTGAAGAAGGCAGAGCCTTTTGGCAGCTCAGACCGTGACAGTTCCTAGAAGGGAAGCCCCAGAGAGCACCCTTCCCTGCTGCTGTGCGAAGATGCAGTCAGCAGGCACCATTTAATCCAGTGCCAGGGCACTCTGAAATGACTCCAAACACCGAGGGCCACAGGAGTGGCATATGCTTCACTGGGATGTGAGTCTGGAGGGAAGTCCACCTCTCCTGAGAAGGGTCACGTTGTACCTCAGCGAACACCACAGTAAAAATAACCAGCCTCAAATACTGGAAACAAAACCTGGGCTTGACAACAACCAAGGGCTTGACTGACGCTCAGATCCTGTCCCCGTTGACCTCTGGGCTGCTCCCCAAAGCCTCTTCGAACACTCGTGGGCCCAGGGGGAACACTGACATACCCAGTGGGAGCACTTACATGTCCACCCAGATCCACCCATACCCACTCCGCTCGC